TAAATCTATATATATAAAAATGAAACCCGTTTCGCGTTGTCACGGCATCACGTGTGAACGGCTGAACCGATTTCGATAATTCTTTTTTTTAAATGTTTGTGGAAGTCCAAGGATGGTTCTTACGGAAAAAAATATTAAGAAAATCTCTACGCTAAGGCGGTACGAAGTTCGCCGGGTCAGCTAGTATTTGATAAAAAAAACCAAGATGTAAAACAAATTAGTCAAAATTCGGATTAAAGACAATTGATACAAGACCTACTATCCGATAAATATAACGGCTATTACCTATAGCAACAAACAAAGATATGAAAACAATCGAAACTCACCTTAGAATGTAATTTAGTGGGCGCGAAAACAAAAAACATTCCCTCACCCTTCCGCACGGCACTTGACCGGCGAGCAAACTGGTTTAAACGTGTTCGGGTACCAAGACCTTTGAATCGGTAAAAGAGACAAATATATATTCCTATGCCTTCAGGTAGAAACATGACTGAGCCACTGTAGCCGACCGAGTTACTGTTGCCTCCTTGACCCTACTTTCAAACCTAGGCTGTCTGGCCAGCATGGAAGTGTAGATAGAGGATTTTGCTCTTTAAACTACGTATCCTGGTAAAACTTAGCTGGTAGAGAATGACTTATGGCATTAAGCTCGCCTTTTTGTACGGAACATTGTTATGTGTGTGCAATAAAGTCTTTAAATAAATAAATAAACCTCTGGGGAATAAGAGAGAGTCTTGCTCCTGCACTAAAGACCAAATGACCGACGAACCCTTTTAAGGTTCGGTATTTACCTCATTATCGTCTCTCTCTTCCAGGAATTACCTGAACTTCATCATCGAAGAGCTGAAGGACCCGGTCCGAAACCTGCCCCGCGCTATTGCCATCTCATGCACGCTCGTCACCGTGGTCTACACGTTTACCAACATCGCTTTCTACACCACCCTGTCGCCTACTGAGGTAAAGCCTGTTCCGTGAGCACGTAGAATTTTGTCCAATGACCCCAAGCTACCCATCCTTATCGCTCGCGCCTTATTACATTATGTTGTTGTCGCGCTCGCACACTCACTGCGGGCGCGCGTACAGTCGCGACAGCAATATAATTACGCGCGAGCGATAAGGATGGGTAGCTTGGGGTCATTGGACAAAATTCTACGTGCTCACGGACCAGGCTTTAACTAGTCTTTTTCCTCAGTTTGAACAATATTTGCCTTTATGTCTAGCGACGGGAAGACGTAGAGAACACAGGCCCTTGTCACTTTTTGGACCGACCATCTTATGAAAGTCGCGGGAAGCACGTAGATGCCAGACTGGAAGACGAAGTGTAGGCAGGCCTCCCAAGCGCAACAACTGGACCGCATACTTATCTAAGTAATGAAGGTAGCGAGCGGGAAGCACTTGGTTGAGGCCAGCGACGACTATTATAAGCTTAATAGAACATACTTAATCTATTTCAAAATATTATGTAATATTGTGTAACAAAAGTCAAAACGAATTTAAAACTTGAAAACATAGCCTTGACCTTTTGCTTGGTGTCTATTCTGATCTGAGATACAGGAAAAAGGTAAAATTGAAAAACAAAAATCGCTTGACACTAACTATAAGAACAAATCACCAAACCCATAATAAAAAAATAAGAAAGAAGCCAATTAAAGCAGCTTCTTCATAATGATTTCTTCTTCATAATGATGTCGGCCGTTTGGTGTAGTGGTTCAGAACGGACTACTATGCCGAGAGGTCCCGGGTTCGATTCCCGGTCGGGCAGAAATTGAAATGATGAATTTTAATTTCTGTGACGGGTCTGGGTGTTACTATGTATAATATGTATGTATTTAAAAAAAAAAGTATATAAGTAGTATATCCGTTAACTAGCACCCATAACACAAGTATATTAATTGCTTACTTTGGGGCTAGATGGCGCTGTGTGAGATTGTCCAAAGATATTTATTATTATTATTATTATTATTATTATTTCTTTCACAGGTACTTGGCTCGGCAGCGGTGGCTGTAACGTTCGCCGAGCGTCTGTTCGGCTGGTTCGCGCTCGTTATCCCGCTGTTCGTGGCCGCTTCCACCTTCGGGGCTGTCAATGGAGTGCTGCTTACTTCGTCGAGGTAATGTCATTTACAACAACAACTTTTTAAACAATTATTTACCGCTAGACCAATTTCAATTAAGCTGAGTGGCTGGACTGGATGCTATTTACTTACTTACTTTTGTTTCGAGGAAATAAGTAAACCGAGTTACGTAAGTTACGGCCCAGTTAGGGCTTGTTTGGCTTTTTAGGGTCTTGTCCGGCCAAATATTGCCTTGTCCGGCCGGCTTTTGTTAGGCTTTTTATTTGGTTGCCGCGCCAGGCGAAAGTCGAGCCACAAAATCATATGAAGTGCACGCATCAGGATGTTGGTTAGCAACCGATGATGATAGTACTTACTCATGAGCTGACACTAATTGCACCCCCCCCCCGTCACATGTCCGGCTTTTAGTTTCAAATGTCCGGCCAAATGAAATACAAAGTCCGGCCTAAATGCAATAGAACCAAGTACTAACCTTAGTACTAACTTACACTTTCTCTACCTTATTCTGTGCCTCTACTTAGAAGTGAACAACTTGAAAAGATCAAATTCACCCCATCACCCCATAAGTAAGTTTCTGAGTAGCTCAAATGGTCAGAGTCGCCCAAAGCGAAGGATCGTGGGTTGAGCAGTCGTAGACCCTTCTGTCGTGGTAACCCACGACAGAAGGGTCTACGACTGCTCAAAGGAGAGGTGGAGAAAATCTAACGATTTTCTCCACCTTTGAGGCAAATCAATTATTTCAACTAAAGTCCGGTCGCCGAGCAGACAGTAGACGGCGGCCGTAGTGAGTGTGCGAGCGCGACAGTAATATAATTACGCGCGAGCGATAAGGATGGGTAGCTTGGGGTCATTGGACGAAATTCTATGTGCTCGGCGACAGGATTTTAAAACTTTTTAACATTGACCATCGTCAGGTTGTTCTACGCGGGAGCGGCCCAAGGCCAGATGCCAGAGATGTTGACGATGGTGACGCCGCGCTCGACGCCCGCGCCTGCTGTGTTAGCCGTGGCGCTGCTCTCGCTGCTGTATCTGACCGTGTCTGACATCTACGCGCTCATCAATTACGTGGGATTCGCCACCTGGGTACGTATGACCCTTGGACAATGTCAATTTCGCGACCTTTTGCGAAGTGAGGAAGCTATGCATGCAACGTCATTAAACGGAACAAAGTAGCTGATTTACGAACAAAACTAAGAAGGCGGGTAACTATTTCCACCTCTCGTTCTCACCACTGCAAGTCTTGTATAGCCTGCTGCTCTCGCTGCTGTATCTGACGGTGTCTGACATCTACGCTTTAGTGTACGTACCACCACATGGAGAACGTCGGTTTCATGACCGTTTCGCGGAGCGAAGTCGCTACATCAGAACTGGGCTATTTCCATCTCGGTCTATTTCCATATCTCTTTTCCATCACTGCAACTCCTGCCAGGATCTACAGTTTGGAATGGTCTACCTAACCTATTTTAACCAGTAAAGGTTGAGTAGTTCTCGACTTCCCTCCGTTGCGAAGCGGGAAACAGACAAATGAAACCTTTTTTCTGCTGATTTTACTGTAAACTAGACTGCAACTGTTATTTTTGATTTCAGCTGAGTATTGGCGCTTCCGTGCTGTGTCTTCCAGTGCTGAGGTACACGAAGCCGGACTGGGAGCGGCCCATCAGGGTCAACCTGTTCTTCCCAGGTGAGAATAATAATGGATTTGAATATTATCTCGTGGAACCCTAAGAGGTCGCATGAGACCGTGGTGACAATTGATTTCCACTGTCTCGATTCGCTGGTACTTACTTGAAGGGTATAGTATAGACTATAGTATATTCAACTGATATAGGTCTATTACAACCATCCGGGTGAAGCTCGCTTCCACCTTCGGCCTGATCATCACTTACCATCAGGTGAGATACAGGCCAAGAGCTTTGTCGTTGTGAATAAAAAAAAATCCTACTATCGAGCTAACTGCGCACCTGCTGGGACTGCCCCTCCCATTTACAATAATTAATGTTCTCGTTCGCTCCCTGCGTATTTTACATTCGCGAAAGGTCGTGGGATTCCCCCTGACTTATTTAACAACCGACTTTTCCAAATTTTAAAATTTTGACATAAGTTTAGAATTAGAATTTACAATAGGGTATTTGCCACCACCCCACCAATTTGACGTATTTTTTAAAACTGACTGTCTGAACGAGATTTTCCCATAAATGTATGGCAATACGAGCCAATGACGTCACTATTTTATCAAATCAATTAAACTACTTTGGTCAATTGCAATGCACCAAAAATCTTAATTTACAAGTAATTTAATTAAGTTTTTAAGACCCGAATGAAATGCCTTTTTTTAAAGTTCTGCTTTAAAATTATTGGGGAGTGGAGGCAAATACCCAATTTAAAACCCTAATAACTTTAAAATGCATTTTATTCCATTAGATTAATAAAGCTTTATTCCTCAGTCCTCTACATAATCTGCACGATTCTCGTGGTGGCTGTGCCGGCGGTGGCGTCGCCAGCAGAGACCGGCATCGGCTGCCTCATGATCCTGACCGCCGTGCCGATATACCTGCTGTTCCTGCACCCTAGGACGCGGCTTAGGGGGCTTGCTAGTATTACCAGTGAGTTACTTCTCTAAATACGGCCCATAACACTGAGTTTCGGGTGCCCTAGAAAATATGGAATTTAAATTGCAAAGCCTAACTTCATATTTTTATTTTTTCAGCTTGCGCCACACATCTGATTCAAAAACTAACATTAGCCATCCGACCAAAAATGAAGGTAAGATTTATATGATTTAAATTTTTTTCATTGATTGAAACAGTTTTTACAAAATGTAAAACATGAATAATTAATATTTTTACAGTGAACGCATTTCCTGTAAAGGATCGTCTGAACATATCCGACCACGAACGCATCTGGACTAGTGCTGTAACAAGATACCAGTTACCATTAACTAGTTATTTTTATGATTTTGAGCTGCGGCCACAGAAAATAACTATACAAGAATGGCAACTACAATAAAAATAAGTTTTGCGATATTACGTCATATTCTATGTTTTTTCATAGTATTAAGGTATCTTAATTTACTGTACTTCCACAGTAAATTTAGAAGCCATTTTTCGGAGGAATATTGACTTTATAGCCTGACCAGGAACATAAAAACCCTGACACAGAGGCGCTGCAATGAGGATCAGTACTGTTGTAGAAAATTCAATAAAACTAGTATCTACGTTAATCTTTAAGACATAAGAAAGATATATCTTTTTGAATTATCCAAATCGGACCATTACTTACGAAGATATTAAGTAATAAACATAGGCCGTTTTTGCCGCTAAAAGTCAACGTACGCAAGGCCGCGTGACGTCATTATATCCGAATCGAGCGCAGCCGGCGTACTAATGGGATGGAAAATATTTTTTTCCGGCTAAACTATCAGTTTTAGAAAAAAACTTTTAATAACATTTATTCTTCAAAATAAAGTAACCTATCGACCAGTAATTTTTAAAAATAAAAATTGTGATAGTAGGATTTATTTTATTATTCATCAATAATCAAATTCAGAACTTGAATATTCAACTGCAATGTCTGCTCATGAACGCTTCAAACTCGGTACTTCTTTCCCAATTCCATAAAATTCAACACTTAGAAAGTGACAAAAAACTTTAAAATAGGTATTTGAAACAAACCACAGCTAATTTTCATAATGGACTGTACTATACGATAAACATGTCAGTCAATTTGACAACCTTGTCGGAAATATTATTCAATGAAAATATTGTCCGAACCCTTAGTATTTCTCTTCGATAAATACTTGAACACATTGTGAACCACTTTTCTTTCACGACTATAAAAAGATTTTAGCAATTTAATTCACAAAATCAATTGCGCACATTTAAAATAAAGTTTGTTTACACTTTGACAGCAATAGACTGACATGCAAGGTGACATGTCAATGAAGTTTTCAGTTACTGTTGCCATTAAAAGAAACTAGTACCATTTGTTTTCCGCAACATGGCGAGGGTTTTTATGTTCCTGGTCAGGCTATACACAATATTTAGCGAGAAAAACTTAAAAAATTAAAGTACTAAGTACGCTTGTAAGAAAAAAGTACCGACTTACTTATTAACAGCGCAACAGCGCATTGACTAATTACTTACCTGCTAGCACGAGTCTAATTAAAATAATTTACAGAATCTTGACGACGTGATATTATCATTCTAGCTTGCTATATTATTTCTTTACATATTTAGTGTGGTCGCAGAATATGTAGCTATAGTTTTGTAGCGATGCGATGATGATCCTAAGAAGCATTCTTTACTACAAAAGTAAACATTATGATATAGTTTTAATCAGTATTTCTACTAAGGAAACAAACAATTTATAAATTGATGTTATTAATATTCTACCTTTTTATACAGAACATGCCGTTAAATGTAAATTATGCTTCTTAGAAAATATCAAGATATTAAATTAAGGCATTTTAGATAAAAAAAATAAACGACAAAATTGTTGACATTTATTGTGAAACCTCGGTGTTGTAAGTAACTAATGTTTACTGTTGTTGACTGTTATTGTCTGTGAACGATAGAATTAATAGTCCGCATTTATAATTTAATTTTGTATTCGCTACATTAAATATAGGTTAAGTATTTCATTATTATTGTGACTAAATTAACACCAAAATGTAAAGAATAAAATGAATAATATGAATTTGTATGCAAACGTGTCGTAAAGCGAAGTGTAACAAATTACCTCCCTTGAAATTTCAAGCTTGACACTATTTGCAATATCCTGCTTTAGTTCTATGTTGGTTAAATTTTTTTATGGAAATATTTTTCGTGATTTCTTCTTTAATCTTGTGAGATTGAATTTCTGTAATCGAAAGATCATCCTTCCGTTTATTTGCTTTTAAATGTAGTTATAGTAATGAATGTGTATCTGAACACAGCCGTGTGACTCTATGTGCATGTTTGACGTCTTGATGCTTGATAATAATATTGTAATATTAAAAATATGATATTTAGATAACTAATAAATTGATGTGAGTTTGGAGGCAATATTTTTGCGGTAACGCATACCAAAGAATTTGTAATGATGTCAATATTGCCTCTTCGAATTAGTAACACAATAGCCAATTTAGCATCATTTTTATACTTATAAAAATGAAATGTGTTCATCAATAGGCTTTTTGATGAAAATTTTACAGTTGACACAGTAAATTTTAACTAAATCATAGCTCAAAGCTCATAACAAAATAGGTATGATACAGAACTACTAGCCTACTTTAAATTGGTTTAAAAGTTGGTAATTAACCAATNGATTATCTCTAGTGGTTTAAAAGTAAACGACGTTTATTTAAAAAAATACTTTTTGGTTTTTGTGAATTTTACTAAATATTTCTATTTTTTTGTATGAAAAGGCAAAAAATTTGTTCTAGAAATGAATTCGCCATCCTTTAATTATCCGAAAATGATACCACACTTGCCCTAATACCCATAGTTTTGAAGATATAGGCCTTAAAGTGAAGCGCGGCGGAAGGAAACTTGCCCCTCCTCCCCCTGCTACCACAGGGGGGGCTCCCGATGTCTACCGACGGAAATCCACTCAGGAGCACCTAAAGAACCACTGTTGCAAAAATGAGCCTTCTATACCAAAGTGGAGGGGTTCTTGCACTAAATTCCCTACTACAATTAGTTAACTTATTTAAGGGTGACCTATTACTATTTACCTACTAATAATTTCGTTTAAAACGTTTGCATTTTAGACAATTCATTTAAGTTCTTAAAATTATGTAAATGCATTATCCCAAAAGGGGCCATATACGTGCTATATTTATTGTAATCTTGAATTTTTTGGTATTTATAAAATTATCCTATCGAGATTGACAATACGTTAGCTATTCCTGACGTAAATTAGATTTAGATTTTGTATGTCTACATCACGAAGAATGCCGATTAGCATGATGGATCCAAGAGATGCATTATGATAAGTGAAGTATTGTTTGGAATATTACTGCAACATTTTTGTCGGGTAGTTTATTTGAATTGAAAAAATTACCTATAACTTTGCATGTTTTCCTATCAAATATTGTGATATTTATTATCAATTCTTTAAAATCAAAGTATACATTCCAACAGAAGTGTTTGATCGGTTATAGTAAGTACGTTTTTCTTATAAGTGAAATTATTTTTGTAGGCTAAGTTTTATATATTTTTTTATTTTGATATTACGATTTTTTGTACATAATGTTCGGTATAATCGGACGTGATCATACGCAGACATTCCAATATTGTAATTTATCTATGTAATCAATAATTGTGTGATTTTTTTTATAATGTAGAAAGTCAAGAAAATAATACATTTTGCATTTAATTTGCTCATACTCAGTTATTTTATCTAAATATAAATAAATAATAACTATAATTTGTGTAGGAGTTAATAAATTAGTTATACCTTCACGTGATGTACTATATGTGTAACAATGTTATATGTGTCGAAGGTTCTTTTGCGCGCTTCGCGATGTCTAATCTTATTGGACACAGTATGACAATAATAAATTATTGAAGTAAGTTATATTCGTTTCATTGAATTTGACTCCCACGAAATTCTAATGATAATAATAGTGGTTACTGGTTATACGTGGTGATTTTAGAGTTATAGGATCACTCATTGTGATCAACAAGAGAGCAAAAGAGTAACTAGTTATCTTGGCTTACGCACATCACTACGTTTTGTGATACTCTGTAATTTTTGACAGCCATGACAGCTGTTGGTCTGTCACTGTCACACTCACACACATGTTTTCTGTCACTGTCAGACAATTATTTAATTTTGTTGTATTGTCTTCCGCGACGTGCTATTTTTCGTTAATTTTCGCATAGTTTGCATAAGTTATACTTAATTTAAAGCACAAAATGGTGAAATTCGGCAAAAACAAGTTTAAAGCTCTCAATAAGATCACTAAGAAGCAAAATGTTGCAACGGGTGCAGTCACTAACAAGATCCTAAAAAAGAAGATCAATGCCGAAAAGAAAGTCACTTTTCAGAAGGAAGTGTTGGCTCAAATGGACGTAGCCAACAGTCCTCTTGTTAAAAATATTACAAAGAAGGAAATACAACGTAAAGAAACTACAGAAAATCCCTCGAAGAGAAATACAAGGCAAAGTGAACAGGTACAGAAGCATAAACTAAAACCAGTGAAGAAGCAAAAACAAAGGCAGAAAACTCAGATCAGTGATACAAAACTGTTATTAAATCTTATGAAAAAGAAGTAACATTAAGTGCTTTTTATAATAAATCTGGTGAAACAAAGAAAATGGACTCAAAAAATGTGTTAATTTAAAATAAAGTTATCTAAGTTTTTAACTACCTACTATTTTTTATTTTCCTTCTACAAATGGCCAAATGCTACTTTATCACTGCTGGACAAAGCCTCCTCCAAGGATTTCCTTTTATTTATCAAGGATGATAGGTCCTAAAGTTATATGACTCAATATTTATTTAGTTTCATCATAGCTACACTTTCACGCGATCAATGTCCAATTGAAGTAAAATTTATCAATATAAACCATACTTAAATAAATGTATACAATAATGAGTATTTTACATGATTCGCGTTAAATAAAATCAATGACTACCTGCTTGATATACGGCAAGTACGCGCGGTTTTTAAGTTCAACTGACAGTATTGCCACTTTCCACAGAAATGTTGCAATCTAAAAATAAAAAAATCTGCAGCATGGCAGTAAACTAGTACAATTTATTGGTGCAGTCCTGTTGTCCCCCTGGAGGAGCCTGGATTTTTATTAAATGATTTGTCCTGATTTGAGGACTGTTGTCCTCCCTGGCAAACATTTAAGAGCCATAATATTTTTATAGTTAAAATGAAAAACTGAAGTACTTGACTGAATGCCAAACTGAAACAACCTGTTTGAGTTAACTGCGCACCTCGCTGAACGGGAATCTCCCTCGCACTCATTCGCACCGAGCGTCGCACGGCCGCCAGTACGCAGTTATCTGGAGTAGTTTTGTAGTTACAAAGACGACAGTGAAACCACAGTAGATGTAGGTATTTACTGTGGTGAAACAATTTTATAATTTTGTTTTCTACACGGGATCAGTGGTGGCAGTTTTTTCTGTGGTTCTACAAAATAATAGGACTAAATGAAATAAAAGAAAACTCTGGATAAAAAAAAAGTTTATTTGATTATAAAGGAAAAGAAGAAATTACAGTAGACATTCTAATAGATGTACTAATAATAGCAATTATTACAAACTTAGTCTAATTAAACGTTGTTATTCTACTAGCAAGTAGTGCAGCCGTGGTCTTATAGCACCTTTGTTCGGTATAGGACGGATTCTGGGATTGGACAGATTCGTGGATTCGGCAGATACTGGATTGGACGGATTCGTGGATTCGGCAGATTCTGTGATTCGACGGATTAGCTATACGACAGAAGTACAGGTGTAAATAAAAATAAAATAAAACCCACTTTTAGTTAAAGAACAATATTATAAATGCGAAAATTTGTGTACACAGATGTCTGGATGTTTGTTACTTTTTCACGCAAAAACTACTGAACGGATTTTGTTGAAACTTTACAATATTATTGTGTGTTTGGATCCTTATTGCTAAACTGCGTCCAATTATTAACATAATATAGGCTATAATTTATTACGATATGTGACAAATAAATTTCAATAAATAAATAAGACGTGTCTAAAAAGCGCCATCTATCGTCATTGGTTAAAATCTACAGCGCTGGATAAACTACTGTTTTTGACGTTCGCAAATATCTAAATATTCTATGTATCCCCCCCCCCCCCTCTAAAAACTAAACTGTTGACTGGCTTGTTTTTATCTTTTAAGTTCATTTTTTATCTTTTATGTTCATACAGGATAAACTCTGTCAGTGTGCCAAATCCATTTAGTATTTGAAACGTGATTAAGAAATAAACATTCTAACTCACAAGTTTCTAATTTTCATACTAACAATTGGAAACAAGATGGATTTTACTTTTTACTTTACATTTTTTTGAGCACGACTGTTCATTTTCTGTCGTATAGCTAATCCGACGAATCACAGAATCTGCCGAATCCACGAATCCGTCCAATCCAGTATCTGCCGAATCCACGAATCTGTCCAATCCCAGAATCCGTCCTATACCGAACAAAGGTTATAGCATACCTACTATTTTGCAAATAATACACATTTCAAAGATTTTCAGTATCTCTATATGAATACAAATGTAAAAATGTCATTCTGAGATGATCACAATTTATCATTTTAGAATACTTTAACGAGGTTCTATCTATGTAAAATTTGGGCAATGTAAGTACAGTTTGATTTTTGTGGCAGTTGTAAAACATAGCCTTGACTTGAATGTCTATATCTCTAACTATATCAGAATACTAGCTGACCCGGCGAACTTTGTTCCGCCTTAATGGCAATAAATAAGCAGACTTTTTTTTTTTATTTCGAACGGGATAAAAAGTATCCTATGTCCTTCTCCTGGCTCTAAACTACCTTCCTGACAATTTTCAGCTAAATCGGTTCAGCCGTTCTTGAGTTTTAAGCGAAGTAACTAACACGACTTTCTTTTATATATATAGATTAATGACTACTTACTAGATATACTATGTCGTTTCTAAACAGCGCTAAGTTTCTACATGCCTATATTAGAGTACCCTCTAATTTTAACACTTAAAGAGATGTTTTCAAAAAATTTTATACATATAAAATATTACTACAAACTAACTTGGATTACAATTTAATAATGAGGATAATTAAAATTTTGGAATCATCAAATTAGCCTTTGATTTCGAAACATGGTTTTAATTTGAATAAAGATTTCAAAAGGAAATAAATTGATTTATTTTATTTGACATTATGTATCTCACATTTTCGGAGAAAAATTATCATGCACATGCTGAATGCAGTATCAACTACTGCACTAACATAGTTTTTTTGTAAATAAACAATCAGTAAAAATTTATCTGGTTATTTTACTCTATTAATTACCATCTGCCTATACCGATTATAATATTTCGTTCAAGGTTTGGTTCGCAGACAGTTTAAATACAAAAGGATTTAAGAATTATACCTATACTAGTAAAAGGTCTTTATACTAACAGTTTGTAAGACTCCCTGCAGACTAGACTTAGTCGGCCGACAGTTGGGCCCGATTCTAATTTGTATGAAGAATCGGCCGATATCAATGTGCGCACTTTCATACTGATTAAACCTTTATATGTCAGAGGGAATATAGTTCCCACCATATTTTGCACCTTATTCGCTTGTCTTAGAGTAGGCGCACACCGTTGATTTTTAGTTGGCCGATAGTTGTGCTCGATTTTAAATTGTATGAAGAATCGGCCAAATCGAATCGGCGTAGTGTGCGCACTCCCATACATGCCCATACTGATCAACTGCCCGACTACTGTCGGCCGACGAAATATCAACGGTGTGCGCCTACTCTTAAGGTCGAAAAACAATGGAAAATTTGACTGCTATGACCCAACTATCGGCCAGCTAAAAGTCGGTGTTCTGCGCTTAGGCTAAGTGTTACTTATATTATAGCTATGGGTCGCCCTGCCCGCTAGTAGAGGGAGATAGGGGGGCAGAAGCGTACAGCTGACTACAGCAGCTTGGTAAGCGTAACATGTGAACCTTAACGCACAGTAAATACGGGCGATATTGGCGGTAATATTCAGCCAGGCTTAGCTCAAAGTAATTTATAAAATATAAAGACTTACGTCAGTTTTGGAAGAAGCACGATACAATCTAATCTTATTGTAGCAATAATTGTCACCGAAAAATTATGAACGGGTGAGGTTATAATCTAGCTGTTAGAATATGTATTTGTATGTACTCTAAAATGGATATACAGAATATAAACTTGCAAGTAGATTTGCAGGGCTGATGTCCAATGCAACATTATACACGATAAGATTTCATCGTCGCGCGCATATTAGCCTGGCTGGTCGGGTTATTCCACTTATCCATATTGGGATTCAGTTCGCAGTTGCGAGCTTCGATGCGAATTGTGGGCAATGTGCCATAAAGTAAGTAAGGTAGTGTTAATGTGAGGATAATGCCCGTTTTCACTTTCAATCATAAAAAAAACCCCTAATTTTTAAGTGACCCCTATGAAAACATACCTGTTTTGTTACCATATGGGTCACTTAAAAATTAGGGATTGAAGGTGAATACGGGCATAAGTGAAACAACCCGTCACGCGTTTTGCACTGCCACAATCACTTCTGAGGGCTGAATGTGAGTGAGAGCGCGTCAAAAAATGACATTAATGTATGACGGATTGTACAGCGCCCCTAGCGGAAACTTTCAAGCACTAAAATCTTCATATATATTTTTTACGCGGTCATTAGTGACGACGTTTGATGTAAACTCACACTAAGCCTCTGAGCGTTAAGGTCCACACGAGCGTTTACTCTAGTAGCGACCGCGCCCGCGGGCCCTGCCGCGGCCTCTGCCCCGGGGCGAGCCTCGGGCCCGGCCGTTGGGCGTCGCTGGGGCCGGGACGGGCGCCGGGGCGGGCGCGGGCACCGGCGCCGGAGCCGGCTCGATGGGTTCGTCTGCGGAGAAAGGTAATAGATTAATAACTATTCTCATAATACTCTTGCAAGTAGGCTTTTAAAAAGTATTAATGCACGGTCGGACTAGCTAGACACGTGCCAGTATTAACCCTACCACTGATTTGGTGCCCCACAATTATTAAGGCTATCGTTTTTATATTTAACAGTTGGCACCCCTGGCGATTGACAGGACCTTACTCTACAGTGGCGCCATCTTGATGAGTGCAAATGCGATAGTCCTCCTACCACTTTAGCGCTCACCAGTTGGTGCCACTGTCTTCGCTACTAGCAAGTAACAATGTCTTCGCTACTAGACCTTACTCTACAGTGGCGCAAACTGGTGAGCGCTAAAACGATAGCCCTCATTACATAACGTAACGAAATTTAAGATGGACTGCACGAACATTAGTAAATGACAAAAAATCCGTAACTAAAAACACTGAATCATTAATTTTCGTGACTGTTTCTACCTATTGATATCTGAATTCAGTGCCAATTAAATTTTTCGTGAGATGTTTTTAGGTAGGGAGATTTGTTTGAATCATCTATTTTAAAATTTTATTTGTTTACTTTTGAATTTTAGTGTTAAAATCTTTTCTACAAATTACAGGTTATATCGATATCGGCAACAAAGTATTATCTACTTACGGAGTCCTCACGCCATCAACTCACATAAATAACCTCAAAGGACACAATTATGGGTCCTATAACCATAACTATCAGAACACATTATTCTCCAACACTGGTTGAGGAGTTCTACCTTCCATCACCAGCTCATCAACATGCGATGATGAGTGACTACAGACACAAATACTTAAATAATTTTATTAAAAGTATGAAATACGTACTATGTGCCTTTAAAGTTTGAGGGTTGCCCTCGATATCCCTAGGATCCCATCATCAGATTGGGACTTGCTGACAATGGGACCACCTCACTCCACTTTACTCTATCAAAGAACAAAACAATTTTAAAAATCGGTTCACAATTATCCGTATCGGTGAACACAGTTTTGTTTACTTAGTTTGATAATGGCTTCGTGCAATTTGCACATTCAGCCAGTCTCAATTAAAATGATATCTCAACTTATAAATGCTAAAATAAGACTAATGATTCCCTCTTTCCCTTGAGCTTTAGTAACAATGAGGAATTTACTGAGATCTCACCTCACTTTTTCATCATCGTTAATCTATCGTTTTTACACATCTTCTATTTTTGAAACCGAACTGCTAAAATGAAGCTTATTTTCCAAATAAAATGGTTGTTTTTGAATGATGTGTACAAGACAAGGTCTTTCGAGTGACATAGCGATCATTTTAGAATGCAAACATACCGGCTTGCGGCTTGTCGTCGGCCCAGGTGTCGTGGTCGGCGTCGCCGGCAGCGCCCCAGTCTTCTAACTCCTCAGCGGGCGGCATTTCCACGTCGCCAGGTTCCTCTGTGAATAGACCTTACGTCAGCACGCACTGAACAGGCAATGAATAAAAACCAAGGGACGGCTGCCCCCGTGGAAATTTTATACCCCTACAAGCTATATTTTTCACCATTTTTTTTACTTTGTAATATTACACTTTTTTAGGGTTCCGTAGTCTTGACAAGGAACCCTTATAGTTTCGTTATGTCCGTCTGTCTGCCTGTCCGAGGTTTTGCTTGGAAACTATTGGCATTAGAGAGCTGTAATAAATAAATTGTGGAGGTATGTATATTAATCACGCCGAGTGGAAAAATAAAATTTTGAAAAAAAATGAGGTGATAGTCATTGAATGTGCTTTTACAGTCTTATTTACATTTTTACTAAACTGTATAATGTTTTTGTTGAAATTGTATATGGCTCCAATCCAATCTTATTCATTAATAAGCATTTGATACGTACGTGTATCTTGTGAACAGGTATCAATCAGCCATGGTCCATCAGTTGCAAGTGGAAAACAGATTAAAGTTAGTAGCCATATTGCAAGTTGTAAGCGAGACTAAATACTCGTAGTTTATTGCTTGCAAGCATAACGATAGTGGAAATATCAATTACTGTAAGGGACAAAACACGACTTTTCAGGAGAGCCAAAAAACGATTTTTTTTTTCTTTATACCTCAATATCTTTTTATGTGATGTTACGATTTAAATAGTTTCTATGGCAAAGTTTCTTAGAATTTTCTGTTCTTTCATAATATAAACGCCAAATTTTCGAAAAATGGGTAGTTTAAAAGATAGCATGTCCCTTACATTAAAAAAACGAGCTTGACTGTACCTTACAATGTTGAAATTTCACAGTATGGAATGTCATGTATGTTGTAAGGTACATTTAAGAATAAACACGACAGTAATATTATTGTAACTTGACAATTTTAACATTGAAACCTGATGTAAGTAGAGGTTGCATTCGAGTATTCATTAACAAAACGAAGAGAAGAGATAGAAACAAGACAACTTAGTGTTCACAAATGCAGTTGGAGGCATCAAATACACATCACCAACAAAACATTTAGTCACTGATGATGCCTACATCTGCATTTGTGAACAAGTTGTCTTGTTTCTATCTTTTTCTGTTCATTTTTACGCAGATAGGTTTTTTTTTCAATCATCGTTCGTTCGTTTTAGCCGAATGACGTCCACTGCTGGACAAAGGTCTTCCCCCAAGGATTTCCACAACAACCGGTCCTGCGCCGCCCGCATCCAGGCACCTCCTACAACCTTCACCAGATCGTCGGTCGACCTAGTGGGGGTCTGCAGCACATTACGTCTTCCAGCTCGTGGTCGCCACTCAAGAATTTTTCTGCCCCAGCGGCCATCAGCTTTGCAAGCTACGAGCTCCATCCACTGCCACTTGATTTTAGCGATTCTGCGGACTATGTCAGTCACTTTGGTTCTCCTGCGGATCACGTCATTTCTGGTTCAATCACTACGAGCATAGCACGCTCCATCGCCTTTGACCTTGAGTCTTCTTATGAGGCCCACAGTAAGCGACCACGTCTCAGATCCATAAGTTATCAAAGACTTTTGTCTTGAGACAGTGCGATATTTCAGACGTGAGAATATCACGAAGCTTCCTGAACGTTGCCAGCCGAGTTGGATTCGACGATTGACCTCTTCCTCGAAGTTAGACCTACCTAAGGCTGGTTTTAGTGTCACGCAGACCGTCAGTGCGGATCGCTCCGCACAGCCAATCTGTATGAACTGATAGGGAGCGAGCGATTCCTGCGGACCGCATTACTCTAAAACGCTTCCTCGAAGTTTACAGATCGGCTGTGTGAAGCGGATCCGCACTGGACGGTCCGCGTGACACTATAACCAGCCTAACTGGACTGTTTGTACTAGGTACATATAAGTGTCAACAACTGCCGAGTGTAGAGTATCCAACCTTTAGAGGAGTGGGTGCAACACGGACATTTGACATGATTTTGTCTTGTCCATGTTTCATTTTAAGACCCCCTTGTTGAGAGGCTCGACTCAGGCCATTGTGCATTGTGCCTAGATCTTCCACGGTCTCAGCCATGGCTATGATATCGTTTGCGAATCGAAGGTGGGTTATTTACTCACCGTTGATATTTATGCCGAATCCGTTCCAGTCCAGAAACAGTTTCGGAGTTTTCAGTTCCCCCTGTCTGCTGCTGCAACTGGTTTCGAGTCTTGATCCTGGAGACGGAACGACATTGTGGCGTTTTCGTACAAGCCTTTCAACATTTCGATGTATCGATATAGGTAGTCAATTTGACACCGTTGGAGAAACTGTAGTAGGTACTGCCCAGGTCTCGATCGAAGCTTTCTCATAGTCCACAAACGCCAGGCAAAGTGACTGACTATACTCCTCGGTCTTCTGTATAATCTGCCGTGGCGTATGTATGTGGTGTACTAAAGCGATTGAGAGATTGAGAGGCTGGAAGTCATCGAGCTTACGAGCGAGACGATTCGTAATGACTCTCGAAAACAGCTTGTAGACATGGCTCGGAAGTGAGATGGGTCTATAATTCTTCAACAAGGTTTTGTCGCCTTTTTTGAAGAAGAGTGTCACCACACTTCTGTGCCATACCGTAGGCGTTTTTCCTTCGAAGATGACGGAATTGAACAGCTTCTGAAGAGCCTTCAGCCCCTCGGTCAAAAACCCAACTGCGTAAAAATGAACAGAAAAAAGATAGAAACAAGACAACTTAGTGTTCATAAGTGTAGTAGGAGTGGGAGGCATTAAATGCATATCACCACCAAAAAAAGTAATTGATATCCTATATGCATATTAACGTAAGGGCCTAATTATAATAAATCAAAAAGTTTTAAATGAAGTAAGGTTCAATGAGTTCAAAAGTTAAAACCAACAGTTTAGGGTAAGGGCTGAATTGTATTATTAAAAGGAATTTACGTCCTTTAAATCATTTGTTTCCCCAAAAGTCGTATTCAGACGACTAAAAATGTTTAAGGTAAGGGACATTTTTTTAAAGATATCAACATTTCAAGTATACCAATCGATAGAGCCGAAAATTCTGAATGCGTTGGTATATATAACTCATTTTGGCCAAAATGTCCCTTACATTAATTGATACTTCCACTATCGATAAGGTTAACTCTTTCAATGTAATTAATAAATTTTAATTTAAACTAGAAAAGCTTTTCATCTACAAGGTGGACATATCCTTAGTTGGTTTTTAATTAAAATTTTAGCATGAAATAAAAGCCTATTCTGAGGTGTGACAACTTTTGCTTATGAAAATAAACGCTTTGATATTTGTAACAGGTTCTACTTCAACAAAAACGAAAAAGGATCAGCCAAAGATACGTGTAAAAAGCAACAGCGCGTCATATGACCGCGTTAAAGATGTGACCTACAGTACCTTTCATGGCGACGTTTACGTCTTGCAGTTCAAAATATAACGAATTCTACAGATCAACTAAAGATACAGGGCCAAAAGCAACATAATGAAGTTATATTTTTTATTTTTTTATTTGGGTAAAAAAAAAACAGTATAACTACTGTGCGTAGTAAATAAATAGTAATAATATACCAATATTATCTAATTTCAACACCAGCATCAATTGATTGATGATTATTATGAACATAGCGTTACATGACCGCGTTAAAGATGTAACATCAGCCTACAGTACCTTTCATAACAAAGTTTGAGTCTTGTAGTTCAAAATAAAACGAATTCTACAGACCAAAAGCAACATAATTGTAACTAAAATCTTTGTATACTATGTTTAATGGCAAATAAATGATTATTATTTATTTATTATTATGGACATAGCGTTATATGAGCGCGTTAAAGATGTAAGCTCAGCCTACAGTACCTTTCATGGCGACGTCGGGCTCCTGCAGGCCGTTCTCTTGCGCGGGCTCGGTCTTGCGGCGCTTCCAGTTGCCGTCCTCGCACGACTGCAGCGAGCGCTTGGACGAAGCCTCGTTGGATTCCGTAGACTCGGCCTCGGCCTCGGCTTCGGTTTCGGGTTGCTGGGGAGATAGTTTCTTTGTTAGTGTTTTAATTAAGGAGCTAGGTTTTTTGAAATATTATCAAACGGTATTTTCTTATCATTTTCACGGCAGCTTTCGATGGCTGATGTCTTTCATACTTATGTTTCCTGTATGGCGGTACTTCTAACGAAAAGTAAAGTCGGCGTTTCGCACTGCGACAGAGACTAAAGAAACGCGACCTTTAGTTGAATTAGGTCTTTCATCTAAGGGACGATACCCATTGACAGGCGCGCGTCAGAGCGTGTAAGTACACGGCCGTAAAGAAAATAGTATTTTATTAACAGTTCTTAGAGTCGTAATTGCTTACAACTGATTAACTGATATTTCAATCCGGACGGATGCGCGAGCATGCGTCAGAAGTCCAGCGGATTCGCGCGCATTCCACCGCATTTTTGTCCGAACGGACGCTGCGTTGTGCGCCGAATCGCGCCGGTCAATGTGAATCCTGCCAAACTCGCTGGCAAACTGATGTGCACTGATATATTGCAAGCAACGGTCGCGGCTCGACGCTTTATGAAGTCTGTTCGCCGAGAGTTGATAAATATTATGAAATGTCTTGCAATAGCGACTGTCGCTTAATTATCGCATTCTGTATGGCGGGCGTCGTTTGTCACAACGCGCACTGAGTACCATGGTACGAGCCACGCAGCTGTCGTCAAGCGCCCGGCCGGCGGGCCGCAATGTGTGAAACGCAATGTGTGAAACGGAATAGATTTATTTTACATAAGACCGAAATGAATGGTATGACAGTGGGTAGGGCTTTGCCCAACATTGGGATACACTATAAGCCACTTGATAATAATGAAATACTTTTTATCCAACACATGGACGCCACGTGTTTGATCCGTATCCCCACGTATGCCCTAACCGGAATAATTCCCGTAAATTTAAAAGAGATAATAATGATAATCTACCAACTCATTATATCGACAAAAATAATTAGCGGGCCGCAATTTATAATGAGTTTAGAACCTCTGATTTTTTTTTATCAACTCTCAGCGAACAGACTTTAGGGTTAGGATGAGCGCCATGATTTAACTAATTTTATTCTAAGAGGTCTAAGGAGGCACTTACAGCATCAGCCTGCTTGTCGCCCTTCTTCTCCTGCAGCAGCCGCAGGAACAGCTGGTGGTGTCGCCACGTGCGAAGGTGCACGGCGGCCGTCTCGTCGCCGTCCAGCAGCTTGCGGCACAGCCGGCACTGCACGCAGCGGAACTCGGCTAAGAACGATGCGCCTACGCCGCGCTCCGTGCTGGAATACAGAGAAACATTAAATTTGCTTGCTTGAATTTCTTAGGCTAAAGACAGATAGAATTTCGTCCAATGACCCCAAGCTACCCATCCTTATCGCTCGCGCGTAGTTATATTGCTGTCGCGACTATGCGATGGGTCGGCGACCAGACTTTAGATTACGCTAGGTATGGTTCAGTTAAATGAGAAGACCTGATTAAAAAGCGCTTTCCTATTGCTACAAAAAGAAACGAAGAAGATCATAGCTAGAGCTTAGAACACAGGCGGTACTACACACAGCGAAACTCCGCCAGGAACGATACGCCTATGCCGCGCTCCGTGCTGGATACTTTAAAATCAAAATAAATATTAAAAACTAGCTGAATGGTAAAGACCGACCTCAAATCTGAGGAACGCTGGTTCGAAATCAGAGGTACGCTGGATCGAGATCCGAGGAACGCTGGATCGAAATCAGAAGTACGCTGGATCCGAGATCAGAAGTACGCTGGATCCGAGATCAGAGGTACGCTAGTTAGTGTACCCCCTCGAACACACGCATATTTAGCCTAGTACAGTCAGTGTTAAATAATTTCGGCTGCTTTTCAAACACATTGCAGAAAGAAGTGTTAGTCACATGAGGCATGAGGAATGGGAACAGTTCCCTGGCTAGTCCAAAGAACAAGAAATAAAATGCGTTGCGGCGGAGGTGGTGGTGAAAAACCGGAGCGGTGTCGCAGCTTCATCTTAAAATAGGCAAGATCTTTGCGGTGCGGCGTCGCAAGGTGCAAGCAACGTATCGTGTGCTTTGGCTCTTACAGTGTAGAATAGGACCACCTTACATGCAGGTTATCTCACCTGTAAGCCGGATACATGTCAGCAGTCATGTTAGTCAAGTCGTCGCCCTCGTTGTAGTCCAGCACGGTGTCGGGCGAGTCGAGAGGCTCCTCGGTCTTCACTTTAACTTCCTCGCCCTCTTTGGGCTCCTCACCCTCTTGCGGTTCGGTTTTGATCTGATCTTCGGTCTGGGAACAATGTGAGGAATATTATGTAGACTACCAAAATGTTAAATGACGCAAGTGTGATATAGCTTTAGTTTTCTTGGTACAATTATGCAACTAGAACAGATTAGATTTTGCTACTTGTGGCAAAGGGCACATTATTCGATTCAGGTTTTCAGCTTCCTTTCATAAGATAACTAATAATAATATCATGACCAGGAAACATGCCCAAACAATGAATAGAACTTGTAAGCAGTAGCCAAACATTCTAACAGCGTACTACGAAAACACAACGCGACAAAACGCTATACGACGCGACATTGTCACATCACTTTGCGTTTCCTTGCTCATCTACTTCAGTATGCCTAGGATGCGTGCCATGTTATGCTTTTATCGCGCCATTTTAGCGATTACACGCGATAAGGCCATACATTTGTCGTCAAAAATCGATAAGATTTTATCCCGGCGCGCAAACCTGAAAACTTAGCAACATACCTGGTTATCCTGGTCCTTGTTGGCATGCTTCTTGTCCTTGTCGTCGTGGTGCGGGTCCCCGCGGCGCCAGCGTTGGCGATCGTCGCGTAGGTACGACTGCTCCATCGTCAGAGTTGAGATTACCATCACTGGAAGGATACGGTTGGGTTAGCATAGAAGTAATTTCATCATCAGTGGGTCTAGACAAAGTGTAAATTATAATCGCAAACCAGTCGAAAAGTGGTCGAAAAGCCCCTTTTTTGTATGGAGTTTTGACGGATTCGATTTTCGATTCGATCAAAAAGTGCGTTTTGTCTAGGGGGGCAGGTCACGTAGTCTGGGTTACACCATCTTACTTTAACTTTGACAAACGTAAAAAATCTGTCAAACTCCATACAATAAACACTGGGTGGTGCAACTCAGGCTTATGCCCGTTTTCACCATCAATCCTTAATTCTTAAGTTAACAGGAATTTTGTTTTCATAGGTCTCACTTAAAAATTAGGGATTCATGGTGAAAACGGACTTTAGTCTTTAATGCAGGAGCATGACCCTCTCTAATTTACCTGAGGTAAATGTAGGAAAAGTCATAAATTTTCTGCAAATAGGATTTTTAAAGAGCTTTTACAAACATTCGAACCGACATTTAGGAGCGTGAATAATCATCGAAATCCTTAACAAGGACTCACACTGTTTAAAAAATCTACTTTGGTTGGGCTTGTTCTAAGTCCACCTAGCTAACTACCATCTTTTCTTCATTTAATCTTATTTAAGTCTGTCGCCATTTGGGTGAGGTAAGATAGCCAGTTCTTCTTTGGTTTACGATACTGGATGAATCTCGCTTTCAACTTCGGCCTGATCATCTCATTGTATCAAGTGAGAGGCAGACTATCATGGGTAAAAAAAGGTTTACCTCATAGAGTTGTCTAGTCGCTAAAAGTAATAATAAGGAGTGCGTGTGCGGTTTTGTTCCCCAGTCGATGAAGCACCTGATGTCGTGCTCTGAGTGCCCGAACAACTGCACTCAGGAGGATTTGATGAGTGCTACTGACAACGCCACTCTAGTGGCGGAGTTTTGGGCTGAAACTGTGTGGGTTTGTTGTCGACACGAAAAGAAGAAGAAGTAATTATACAGAACGTACCCTCCGGTTTAGGCTTGGACACCGTCTCCTGCTTATCTTGCATGTTTTTCAGATGCTCAGACGTCAGCCTATGCTCATCCAGCTCGATCCTAGTTGGCATTTCCTTATGGCAGGACGTGCAAGTGGGATGCAGGTACTTCTTGAGTTTCCTGTGCCCGACGGTGGTCCGGTGAATGGCTCCGTCGGCTGCGTACATATCGCACATGGCGCAGTAGAAGTCACGAGCCGGCTGCTGACCGGTCTTGCGAGTGCGTTTCATCTCGCGGATCTGTGTACATTTTGTGGGACGTTAGCTAAAGGCTTTTAAACAAGAGAAATTGTGGATTTGAATTAAAATATTTCTGGGAAAATACACCAGAAATTGTTTCGTGACTTCGTCGTTCGACGCCGTCAAAGGCAGACGTGTGTCCGATTTCTTAACAAAATATCTATAATTTGGCATTTTAAATTCGACTGTATTCGTTAAATTTTAAAAATCAAATTCGTTTAAATCAGTGCCCGTATTTTTCGACGCGAATCTACTGCTCGCCTGACTCATCGCCCGAACCCGTGCCCGAACACAACGGCGCGCACACAAGTAAGAAATTATTTTACTGAGCCGTGGACAAGCTTATGCAATAATGAGCCTGTTACATTCACCTGTTAAATCAACGTCNAACCTAACTTTAAAGAACCCAACTTGACCCACGTTAGGTTCCTGAAAACCCACGTCTGAAATTACTGAAAAATTAGAGTTAGGTTGCTGACACCATTCTGAAAATGGGTTAGGTTCTGAAAAGAACCTAACTTTAAAGAACCCAACTTGACCCACGTTAGGTTCCTGAAAACCCACGTCTGAAATTACTGAAAAATTAGAGTTAGGTTGCTGACACCATTCTGAAAATGGGTTAGGTTCTGAAAAGAACTTAACCCAAGCGCGAGCGCGTGCGCAGCACGCGCGAGCATTTTTGGCGGTAGTGTAATTTTTACCGCCGGGCAGCTCCCCCCGCACCCCCGCCCGCTGGTGCGCGCGCACGCGGCGGTTATCGTTTGTCAGTGGGTGGTTGTTCTTCAAAGCATGTTATTTTGTATGAGTTTATCTTCAAAATTGTGTCTTATTGTGATAAATATGATATTCCATAAAAATAAAAATATGTGGCTTACTCAATTTTGTACCCTTTGAAATTGATATTGTACTGTGTTGTATGTGGTACTCACCTAGTGCGAAGAATAACACCGCAGTTCCAAATCTGTGCATTTATTTCCACACGAACGATGGTAACGCACACACACACACACATCACACGGTAGGTCTAACTCATAATAATATCTACTCCTTATCACTTATGCGGGCCTTTGTCAACAGCTCATAAAGAAAGAGGTGTCGACAGTTAACAGCGAAAAAAATATTATTATAGAACACAAAAAAGGGAAGATTGAAGCTTATTTATAGCACACGTCACTAACAATAATGCACAAGTGGGTAGTGAGAAAAAAGCCGGAACACACGACACACGCGATCGGCGCAGGGCGGCGACTAGGGTTCCCAACCCTCCCGGATTGCCCGGGAGACTCCGGAAATAATGGTTAACCTCCCGACCTCCCGGAGAGAAATATTTTCTCCGGTATTTCTAAAAATTAAATGCATCCATTGCTGCTCGTACTTGTGTATAAATTTTATCTTTAAAAGAACCAATCACATGGACCAGCATTACTAAACTCCAGGATTTATTAAATATTGACATAGACATAGATAGTGACAAATTTTACGATGAGGTTGGACTTTTGCGTGAGGTGCAACCACATCTTAATGAAGAAAATCGAGTGGATTTACGCTGGGTTGACTTCTTTACGAAATCGAAAGACAGAAATCCTTGCCCTGAATAAAAAAAAATGGTCGCGTTTGTTCTTTCCATTCCTGTCTCTATTAATGCTTCATTCAAGCGCGTATTCAGCGTGATGGAGCAACTATTCTCCCGGGTTGATCCTTTCAAGAGTTGGCAACCCTAGCGGCGACGCAGACTGGAGACGAGGCGCGCTACGCTAGCGCCGCGGGTTGGGCGCGGCAGCTATCTGTACTAGTGGTTGGTAATAACGGATTTTTTCAACATCGAATCAAAACTGTAAATCGATATCCGTGTGCCTACCATGAGTTTACGCTAGGTGTGCTCGCTAGCGACTGCGTAAAAAAATGTCATCTAAATGTATGACATATTGTGCAGCGCCCCTAGCGGCTACTTTCAAGAAATAAAATCTTCATAGAATCTTTTGACGTATTCGCTAGCGAGCTCACCTAACGTAAACTCATGGTACAGTCCTCTCAACTTAAGCTGAGAATTGCATTTGTGTGAGTGCACACCGATAGTTTAGAGTGGCAATCGGCTTGAAGCGCGGCGCGTCCCGCGCATGGTTTAATATAGCAAGCGGCCTGAAGCGCGGCGCGTCCGCCACGCACCGCTTCCTTGTCGCTCACATACTTCACTTCACCCCCGGTACTGGTAGCAGATACGTGTAATTTTATGTAATTGTGTTCCAAATATTAGTGAAATGGCTCCTACTGTAAGTGAATTTCCTGTACGAAATCCATTAAGCAGCCAAGTGAAAGAAATTTTATGCAAATTGAATACGTATTATAAAGGTGTGAACGAAAAGTTTTTAGTCTGTTTTTATTTTGTAATTTTATAAAGTTTGTCTTTTTGTTGTATTTTGTAAGGCTGGCTGGACGCCCTCTCTATAAACGGTGCTCGCAGAATATCAGCGTCGAGGTACTTCGTGCCTTGGCATATGCTGAGCGAGGACCTGTTTTTATTTGTTTATTTATTTAAAAGGATGTGTCAAGTGTCGTTACATCGGCCCAATTGGTAGCAAGTGTTTTATAGATTTCCTTTTAATAAAACATTAATTTTATTTGTATGTGTTTTACTAACGGTACTTTTGGCGATCACTCACACAAATGCAATTCTCAGCTTAAGTTGATAGGACTGTAGGCACACCGATTCTGAAACATAACCATGTTAAAGTATTTGTACTGTGTGTGAGTTTATGTATCTTTACAAATAAAAATCCCTAGTTGTATTGATTCGGATACTCACAGGAATCTAATCTCATAAAAAATAATCATCTTTTTGTAAAATATTTCGTTTATTCCCGTCGTCCCCACTGGTGGATTTTTTTTTATTCCCGTTGTTCCCATCCATCGGAATTAAGTGGCGACAACGGGTATTAAAAAAAATTAAATAAGGCTCGGTGGGGACAACGGGAGCAAATATTTAGTGAGCAAGGGGACGCGGGCAGTGAAACGCGCAGTAACAGTGATGGCTTATATTTATTGTCTTAAGTCTATCTATTAAGGAGTGCGGATGCTAGCCGGAGAGGTCGCCGTGGTCGAAGAGGTCCTGGTCGTAGAGCGCGGCGCGCACGGTGCGGCCGCCGAAGTAGCGCCCGTGCAGCGCGCCCGCCGCCGCGCGCGCCTCTGCAATACAATTTTATTTATTTACTAGCTGACCCGGCGAACTTTGTTCCGCCTTAATGGCAATAAATAACGGGATAAAAAGTATCCTATGTCCTTCTCCTGGCTCTAAACTACCTCCCTGACAATTTTCAGCTAAATCGGTTCAGCCGTTCTTGAGTTATAAGTGGAGTAACTAACACGACTTTCTTTTATATAATAGAAAGATATAACAATGATCCACATGGCTAATAAATTGGTGCCTTATACAACTATGCAATACACCACATTTATTAAATTCAGTATGTTTAAACCTCAAATATCCTGTTTCACATTAAACATTTTCGGTATATTAATTTGCTAATGCTACTGCTCCACTTGCGTTGATGTTAAAATCTGAATGTATTACGCGTTAAGGCCTATTCAAACCTAAACGATATTCGCTGCCGCTGTGGGTAGAGGTACATACCACGCGGGTTTCGCTCAGGTATTTAGTATCAAGTATCGCGGCTAGAGCGTTTTCTCTGCCGCAGACGGTAGCGAATACCGCTTAGGTCTGAACAGTATTATTACCGCATACCCAGTAGGTTTTCTCTGTCGCAGACGGTAGCGAATACCGCTTAGGTCTGAATAGGCTTTTAAATAAGGCATTAACGATGTGCATAGGCTAGACTTGGAAATAATGCCGTCAAAAGTTGAAATAAACTAAAAAAAAAAGCATGAATAATTAGGTCGCCAAACAACATTCATTTCTAATGCGACGAATTCATTATCGTAATAGAACGGTTTCCCTCAAAATCCAAACGCGTTAAGAAGCAGGTGGAGCAGTAACATGAGATCCCTAGCGGCCGGTGACCGGCAAGCAGCGAGTGACGTACCGTCGGGGTCGGCGAACTGCACGAAGATCTTGACGTTGGCGTGCGCGGGGTCGTCGTCCTCGCTCTGGCGCTCGTTGTAGATCACCAGCCGCTCCACGCGGCCCCACTTCGAGCACTCCTCCTGCGGCGAACGAAACTTACGTCAGAACTATCGCTACCAGATAAAACATTCAAGAAAATTCTACGTCACTGTACCTCTAGTGCGAAACTATTTTCGATTTCGAATCGTTTGCGTATTCGTTTGACTGCTGCGTGATTGGTGGATTTTGACATATGTGTCAATGTCATGTCAAAAATAACCAATCATGCAGCATTTGGACCTCGCGTAGACACGAGGTCCAAATGCTTATTGCCATCTGGCAGATTTTTCATTCGCGAAAACCCTCACTGCTATCAAAAAATTTAGTATGATAATTTAAACAGTGTCTCTGTGAACGTGACGTAAAGTGAACTAAGTATGAGAAATGTTAGCACGAAACCAATTTGGAGAATCGAGATCGTCACGTTAACGTCGAAATCAGAAATCATAGGTTGGGTATCGAGTTTTGTCCAAAACGCAAACAGTTTGAAGACAAAAGTTTTACGTGGCACCGATCTGCTGAAAATATGGCACAAAGAATTAAAAAAATATTCGTCTCGAAGCACGGGTGACGTCACACGCTCGAGGTGGCGCGCCGTCTGCCGGAGACGGAGCCCGGGTGACGTCACACCGACCTGTATCTCGTGGTGCAGCGCGGTGTCGACCTCGTCGGCGGAGACCATGTTGCAGAGCAGCAGCGTGCGCGAGGCGCGGCGCCGCATGAGGCGCTGCATGACGAGGTGGCGCGCCGACTGGCCGGAGATGGACAGCGACTCCTGCTGCTGCAGCGTGTCGGGCGACGCGTCCAGCAGCTTGTGACGTCACACCGACCTGTATCTCGTGGTGCAGCGCGGTGTCGACCTCGTCGGCGGAGACCATGTTGCAGAGCAGCAGCGTGCGCGAGGCGCGGCGCCGCATGAGGCGCTGCATGACGAGGTGGCGCGCCGACTGGCCGGAGATGGACAGCGACTCCTGCTGCTGCAGCGTGTCGGGCGACGCGTCCAGCAGCTTGTGACGTCACACCGACCTGTATCTCGTGGTGCAGCGCGGTGTCGACCTCGTCGGCGGAGACCATGTTGCAGAGCAGCAGCGTGCGCGAGGCGCGGCGCCGCATGAGGCGCTGCATGACGAGGTGGCGCGCCGACTGGCCGGAGATGGACAGCGACTCCTGCTGCTGCAGCGTGTCGGGCGACGCGTCCAGCAGCTTGTGACGTCACACCGACCTGTATCTCGTGGTGCAGCGCGGTGTCGACCTCGTCGGCGGAGACCATGTTGCAGAGCAGCAGCGTGCGCGAGGCGCGGCGCCGCATGAGGCGCTGCATGACGAGGTGGCGCGCCGACTGGCCGGAGATGGACAGCGACTCCTGCTGCTGCAGCGTGTCGGGCGACGCGTCCAGCAGCTTGTGACGTCACACCGACCTGTATCTCGTGGTGCAGCGCGGTGTCGACCTCGTCGGCGGAGACCATGTTGCAGAGCAGCAGCGTGCGCGAGGCGCGGCGCCGCATGAGGCGCTGCATGACGAGGTGGCGCGCCGACTGGCCGGAGATGGACAGCGACTCCTGCTGCTGCAGCGTGTCGGGCGACGCGTCCAGCAGCTTGTGACGTCACACCGACCTGTATCTCGTGGTGCAGCGCGGTGTCGACCTCGTCGGCGGAGACCATGTTGCAGAGCAGCAGCGTGCGCGAGGCGCGGCGCCGCATGAGGCGCTGCATGACGAGGTGGCGCGCCGACTGGCCGGAGATGGACAGCGACTCCTGCTGCTGCAGCGTGTCGGGCGACGCGTCCAGCAGCTTGTGACGTCACACCGACCTGTATCTCGTGGTGCAGCGCGGTGTCGACCTCGTCGGCGGAGACCATGTTGCAGAGCAGCAGCGTGCGCGAGGCGCGGCGCCGCATGAGGCGCTGCATGACGAGGTGGCGCGCCGACTGGCCGGAGATGGACAGCGACTCCTGCTGCTGCAGCGTGTCGGGCGACGCGTCCAGCAGCTTGTGACGTCACACCGACCTGTATCTCGTGGTGCAGCGCGGTGTCGACCTCGTCGGCGGAGACCATGTTGCAGAGCAGCAGCGTGCGCGAGGCGCGGCGCCGCATGAGGCGCTGCATGACGAGGTGGCGCGCCGACTGGCCGGAGATGGACAGCGACTCCTGCTGCTGCAGCGTGTCGGGCGACGCGTCCAGCAGCTTGTGACGTCACACCGACCTGTATCTCGTGGTGCAGCGCGGTGTCGACCTCGTCGGCGGAGACCATGTTGCAGAGCAGCAGCGTGCGCGAGGCGCGGCGCCGCATGAGGCGCTGCATGACGAGGTGGCGCGCCGACTGGCCGGAGATGGACAGCGACTCCTGCTGCTGCAGCGTGTCGGGCGACGCGTCCAGCAGCTTGTGACGTCACACCGACCTGTATCTCGTGGTGCAGCGCGGTGTCGACCTCGTCGGCGGAGACCATGTTGCAGAGCAGCAGCGTGCGCGAGGCGCGGCGCCGCATGAGGCGCTGCATGACGAGGTGGCGCGCCGACTGGCCGGAGATGGACAGCGACTCCTGCTGCTGCAGCGTGTCGGGCGACGCGTCCAGCAGCTTGCGCTGCAGCGCCGCCTGCTGCGTGCCCTCCGCGCCCGCGCCGCCGCCGCCGCCCAGCGCCGCCGCGCCCGGATCGGAACCGCCCTGGAACGTGGGGAAATACTTTATGAATATTTATTGTTTTTTCGAAAAACTATTTTCAACAGCCCGACTAAACTATCGGCCGACAAAAAATCAACGGTGTGCGCCTACTCTTAATGTGACAATCGCGAAATCTTATGCGCAGTACGTATACATCGATGATATTTTGTATGTAAATAATTCAAAACAAAACTATTTTTTTCTCTTAACTCCAGGGATAGATTTCAGTGCGCTCCGGTTTACAAATTAGTATTGGCCTGAGGAACCAAATGCACTATGGTTTCATTCTGGGCAGCACTTGGTCCAACTTCCATACATGGATTGGCACTATCCTTTGACTCTTGAAATCCGGGTTTGGACAAGGATTGAATATAGGAATCGGGTGTCGAATCTGGGGGCACGGGAGTGCCCCCACCAAGTCTCGCAACTCAGTTGTTCTACGGTAAAAAGTAGTGAGATCCATGTAATACCAAGTCCAGGTCAGAAAATCTTTAACGTTTTACATAAATTATTGACTTGGCCATCGCACTAAATAATTTAATTTACACGTGTTTTCATGCGCTGAATATTGACATGGCGCGACTCACCAGGCGCTGCGAGACGGGCGGCGGCGGGATGACGACGCCGGGCGGCGGGATGACGGCGGGCGGCGGGAGCGCGGCGGGCAGCGCGCCCGGCAGCGGCAGCGCGCCCGGGATCGTCGCCGGGAGACCGCCCGCTATGCTCTGGAAATTGACACATTCATTTAGACCTGAAGCCGTTTCAGTAATAGAACTTGAAAAATAATAGCGTTTGAATCACTCTTTGGCTCATAGTGAAAACAAATCAGATTACCGATTGTATTGTTTTTGTTTTTTTTTTGTTGTTAATTTTATTGTTATTGTAATGTTTATTTTATTGTGAATTTTAATTTTAATATTTTTTTGGACTTGTTTATTTAAAATTTTAGTAAGTGTATTGTTTTTTTTTTATTTTATTGTAATTGTTATTTTTTATTTCAATGTGAATTTTAATTAATTTGAATTTATTTTATTATATTTTTTTGCCCCTGCGTACAAGGCACCCACTGAAAACCAGTGTCTTGGCACTTGGCAGTAAAATGTCAACTGTCAAGATAATACTGAGTGGGTGACCTCTTTGGCAACATTTTTGTTTTCTCCGCCTCATTGTTTTTGTGCTTTTTAGTTGTCAAATAAATAATTTTTCTTTCTTTTTTTCTTTCGTCCCTTTTCGTTTTTGAATACCACGCTTCATAAAGGAAGACGAGAACGAGTCTGACGCTCATGGCGGCATACAGATGACAGTGCTACAGGTAGAATAGGAATGTTTCCTGGGTAAAAAAGCAAGTTTTTATTAATCCGTCAGTTAACGTATCAAAAAATACTCGAAACGTATTTTTCACTTTTTCAAAGTAATGAAAATTTTAAGAGATAAAGCGCGCCAAAATTGAAAAGAAAAGGCCGTAACGTCAATGAGTGTTTAAAACTGCAGCACTTTGTGACGTCGCGCGGAACTTCAACGCACCATAACTTTGTAATTAATTGTTAGATTGAATAATTAAAAATATCATCATCATCATCATCATCATTTCAGCCATAGGACGTCCACTACTGAACATAGGCCTCCACCAATGCTTTCCATGTTGATCGATTGGCAGCGGTCTGCGTCCAGCGCTTCCCTGCTGCTTAATCTATACTTATAATAAATCTGTAGAGAGGTCAATTCTGTACATGAAATATATTTTCAAAATAACTATCAGGGGGTGATTAGTGATCGATACTGATGCCAAAAATGCANTAAAAGTGGAATGCCGAGTTGTATTTCTAAAACTTGTTCTATTATTTTATACTATTTGGCTGCGACTCGGCGTGACGACAATACAAAACATTTTTCGCGAATCGGTGTTCATACATTCACACAATACATTAGACGCCATGTTGTCATAAACGACATATTATAAAATCGCTGTGATTTAATATTCTTAATCATTAATTTTATGGCAAGTGTCCATCAGGAATCATTGTTCTTACACACAGAATCGTATTATTTCGCTTTCGGGTAGTAATATGTCAAAATTGTTGGTTCTTTAGGCGAACAATGTATGGAGAACGAACATTGTCCTTTAAAGAGATAAAGCGCGCCAAAATTCAAAAGAAAAGGCCCGTGACGTCAGTGAGTGTTTAAAACTGCAGCACTTTGTGAAGTCGTGCGGAACTTCAACGCACCATAAATTTGTAATTAATTGTTTGACTGACAATTGAAAATATACGTGTCCAATATTTTTAGATAATAAAATTAACGAACAAAAAATTTTTTTAGGAGCGTTTTTTTTATTTTTTTTTCACAATTTTACACAGCGCCATCTAGCCCTAGAGTTAAGAGTTACACTGACCGGCAGCGTGGGCAGCGTGGGCAGCGTGGGCAGCGCGGCGGGCAGCGTGGGCAGCGTGGGCAGCGCGGGCAGCGCCACGGGCAGCGCGGCGGCCAGCGAGGGCAGCGCGGCGGCCGGCGACACGCCCAGCGCGTTCAGCTTCGTCAGCCCCAGCGCCACGGCGTTGCTCGCCACCGCGTCCATCGCCTGCAACGCGCCGTTACATCGTGTTAGCTTGCATTATTATAGGTTTCAAGTGATTGACAGGNTCTCTGGGCCTGTGCATTGAACCAGACCTGTTCATCTCCGCGAGTTTACATCGAAAATAAAACAAGCGCGATGGCACCTCACAGGATCACTTATCGACAAGGCCTTACATACGAGCGAGCATTGACTCACACACGCGTATTCTTGTGCAAGAAGGTAGGAAGCTCGAAGTCAGCCCTATGGCTTCGGCGCAGTACCGATCACTGACGTTTGTCAACAAAATGGTGCTCGACTCTTGAGACAAGCTAAACTACACCATATTGTTAATGACATTGAGCATATTTTTTTTATTACAGTACCTTCGCGAAGTAAACGGCGGAGGCGACGGGCCACTGACCTGTATCTTGGCGGCGGCGGCGACGGCGGCGGCGGTGGGCACGGCGGAGGCGGCACTGACCTGTATCTTGGCGGTGGCGGCGGCGGCGGCGACGGCGGCGGCGGTGGGCACGGCGGCGGGCCACTGACCTGTATCTTGGCGGTGGCCGGCGGCGGCGGCGGCGGCNGCCACTGACCTGTATCTTGGCGGTGGCGGCGGCGGCGGCGACGGCGGCGGCGGTGGGCATGGCGGAGGCCTGCGGCGGGCCGGCCAGCGCGTTGGGCGGCGTGATGGCGCGGCCGACGCGCAGGTACTGGCCGCCGAGGTCGAACAGGTTCATGGAGGCGATGGCCTCGAGCGCGGCGGGCAGCGTGGCGTACTCGATGAAGCCGTAGCCCTTGTGCTTGTGCGCCGACGCGCCGTACGCCAGCTTGCAGTACGTGATGGGCCCGAACGCCTCGAACACGCTGAAACGTTGCACAATATGCGAGTTAGTCACCGGCTCCTTCGAGCGAGGATGTCGATGTCATCAAACATAGTTAAGTGTCGCGGGGCACTGACTTCTTGATGTCGTCCTCGGTGAGCTCGGGGTGGATGGAGGCGACGTAGATGCGGTTGTACTGCTTGGCCTCCTCCTGGATCTCGTCGATGACGGCCTGCGCCTGCGGCATGTTGGACGGCCGCCCCACCACCTTTATGTTCCTGGGAACACGGTCCGTTCGTTACGGTCTATTTATTATAAGCACAGTAAAATACCATTCTGTACGGCAAGCAACATTATTTGTTTGATGAATTAGTTTTTATGAGTCTATATCATTACATGACAAAAACAATAAATAGTATCAAAAATATCGTTAACTAATTATTATCGTTAATCGTTAACAATAAGAAGGGGCCAATGATGCATTATAAATATATTATACTAGCTTTCCGACCGCGGCTTCGCCCGCGTGGAATTTTGTCTGTCACAGAAAAACTTTATCGCGCGCGTCCCTGTTTCAAAAACCGGGATAAAAACTATCCTATGTTCTTTCTCGGGACTCAAACTATCTCTATGCCAAATTTCATCAAAATCGGTTGCGAGGTTTAAGCGGGAAAGCGTAACAGACAGACAGACAGACAGAGTTACTTTCGCATTTATAATATTATAGTTGGGATAGTTGGGATTAATGAGAGAAAATAATTTACTAAATGTCAATTCAACATGTCTTTGCATTTAAGTTTTTGTAATAAGCCCGTGGATGTTTGTGGAGCACTGACCTGCCGCCCAGCATGACGCCGTTCATCTGCTCCAGGCTGAGCTGCGCGGCCTCGGGGATCTCGTACTCCACGAAGGCGAAGCCCTTGTGCTTCTGCGTCACCGGGTCCCACGACATGTTGATGGACTTGATCGGCCCGAACGGCAGGAACGCCTGGCGGATCGTGTCCTCCTTCAGCTCGAACGATATCGACCCCACGTACACCCTGGAAATAGAAAAAAAGATAAGTCCGTGATCGTCAAGGACGTTTGAAACGTCGCACGTCAGGGGGATTCAGATCTTTTCAGCTTTCGAGTCACAGGTTCAACCAGCGCGAAGCGGGAGCCTTCAACGGTTATCGCTCTCATCATCTAATCTTCTAAATCTAAATATATAAAAGGAGAAACTGACTGACTGACTGACAGATCAACGCACAGCCTAAACGGCTAAATGTAGGCACTTGAAATTTGGAAGGGACGTAGCTTAAGTACCGTAGAGGTGCACTAAGAAAGGAATTCCCAAAATTCCCACGGGAACGGGAATTGGCGGGAAAATCCTTTTGTATGAAAAATCTAAACCGCTTAAGTTAGACGCTTGAAATTTGGCATGCAGTACCTTAGTAAACTTAAAGCTTAGTTACAACAAGGAATTCCCGAAATTCCACCAGGAACGGGAATTAGCGGGAAAATCTTTTTGTATGAAAAATCTAAACCGCTTAAGATAGATGAAGGGGGTAAAACGGGATTCACGCGTACGAAGTCGCGGGCGGCCGCTAGTCGAACACAATATCGCTGTAACACAGTACGGAGGTGTAAGGGTACGCACCGGCACATGAGCGCGAGCGCCTGCTGGCGCTGCACCTGCGTGCGCTGCGAGGCCATCTGCTGCTGCTGGTGCGCCAGCGTCTGCTTCATCAGCACCATCTTGATGCTCTGCTCCATGGCGTACTTCTTGGCGCGCGCCACCGCCTCCGCCTGCTCCGACGACAGCCGCGGCAGCGAGCCGCCCAGGATGGCCGGCAGCGTCGAGCACTTCGCGCCCGGACCTGACCACGACACGGGACTGTGGTTACGATTGAGACGATAACGTCAATGTTGTATTCGATTTTAACCACATTCAAGCTAAATTCAACAAAAGAAAAAAAATACAGCAAAGAAAATTTTATAATGCTCTGACTTTAGGTAAATGCATGTGAAAAACAAAAAATAATTTGGTCGATAACTAACTTTGGCTCTCACCTGTGAACACGTCGCCGACCTGCTGCAGGTCGTAGATCGGAGCGGCCAGAAAGCCTCCTGCAACATACGGGGATACGGTCATCTCGGGTCGCACGCGCAAGTATGCCATTGCGGAGTGGACGCAGTCACACGCACAGCCGTTCGTCTCGCACATTGCGGCATCTCAACCCAGGCTTTAGCCGGGACGAGTTTGTGATTCATCACATACTTGCTCCTGTCTGACATTCTGAATCCGATCTAGCATCGAACTGTCAAATCTTTCAAGCGTTCAAATTTCAAACAGGCAATCGTCCAAATGCTGATACGACACTAAAAAAATAAGGCTCGATTATTTTACTAGTCATCGAAAAGCAACATCAAAAAATGTTTGCAAAATATTGGGACTCGTCTCATTTCAACAATTACAACCTAATAATTTAGAAGACAATACGTCGCGATTTCTGGTGAAATAACCGAGCTCCGCTTTCAAGAGTCGCGTCAGTACCGGGCCGAAACACTCAGGTCCCTGCGGTCATGCCCGTCCACGCTGGCGGAGCAGCCGCGGCCTCTCACGCGCCTGGCGCTCGGGGAACGATGCAATAATGAAGTAGGTACATTGTGACCGGAGGTGCAGCCGGGGCCGGAGTCGCAGGCGGCGCGGCGACGCCTAAGCGCTTAGCAATAACCTAACTTACAAATCTAGCCTGAAACAGAAAGCAGAAACACTGATCACTGAGGACGGTTTCGAGAGAACTAAGAGATAACGTCGGGCCGGGCGCGGCGGGCGGCGCGGCGGCGGCGGCGGGCGGCGGCGGGCTGCGTCTGCAACAGCGAGCACGCGGCGCGTTAGGCCTACTTCGGGGCGAGGCGGGCGCGGGGCCGGCGCGGGCGCGTCTCGTTCACAGTATAGAGCGTCTGCGAGGAGACCGCTCGGATGGATGTTACTGTGAACACGAGCCGAGCGCCCGCGCCCGCCCCGCGCCCGGGTGCGTCTGACCTGGCTGCGCGAGCGGCGGCGGGACTCACCTGCGCTGGTCGGCGCCGGCAGCGGCGGCTGCAGCATGCTCGTGTCGCCTCCCTGCAACTGAACCCTTCCACGTTTAACATGGTCTACAGTAGCCGGCTCAACAACATTGGTGTAATTTATCAATGACAGATGGACTACACCCGTGCACGAGTCTCATTAATATGATGTTTTGGTTTCGTTTCTTGTTTAATAGTTAATGGAAAATTAGCAATCGAATAGAAAATAATACATAACAATTCCGGCAGAATGTACCAGATCTTGCTAGATAGGTACTAAATAATGGCAAAAAATCACAGTGTAACACTGTAAGTNAAATAAATAAATAAATAAATAAGTAGTACAAATATTATCATGGGGTATGTCACAATGAAAGTTCCTGTTAGCATTTCCAGTCTTAAATTATTCTAGAGATAAATTCATTTCACAGTCTACTGTCTGTGGAGATGATAATTTTGAAAATTTCAACACAATATTTACAGTATCTTTAAAACGGAATTATTAATGCGGAGTAAATAAATTAACTTGAACAAAATTGCTTCATAGTCAATCAACAATTTGTAGTGTACAAGTACCTTAACTTGCAAAAAGAAATGCTGTGTGTACCTGTAATTGAGGTCATATACCCATCATGTGTTAAACCATGTTAATATGTATGAACTGTATATGTTGTGACTTTCTTAGTGTAACCCACTTAATAAATAAATAAACAAACTCCAAGCGGTCACATAAGACTGCGTAAGAATTAATTATCATTGTCTCGCAGGGCTAGAAAGCTTCATTATTATAGAACTTCAATAAACTTTCAAACAAATCATATGCCTGCTTCCAGTCATAAAAATTTAAAAATTATTATAAGGAACTGATTGTTGTCATGTAACATTTGCAAGCATGCAAATTGATAGTAGCCAACGTGTTACACAAGTGTTTACATAACACGATGGTAGAGGAAGGGAGGGTTGGTCCTCAAGCAGTGAGGTTAGTTACGTTTTGAGAATGTAATATATACATGTATATTGTATACATGGCAATATTAGAGATGTAACAAAAGCACTGTATTATGAGAAAATACCATGGTCACACATTTTCATCTTTCTCTATACTATAGGTACAATTTTACACATTAACATCTAGTTGGTTGCACCTTTATACCTGCATTTCATATCAGGATTTATGATTTCCATTATTGAAGCTTATTCATGCTAATTAGCATGTTATGTCTTTGTATAGTATGTTAACTGAATGCAGAGAGGTTTTACTGACCTCATTGCTTTCATACAGTACAAAATTGCTGTAATTAGGCAGATTTACTAAATGCCTATACATTTTAGTTTCTTTTACTTGCACTAGGATATTATTAAAACAATACATTTTCTCATGTTGATTATTCAACAATACGTAAGAAACAACGGCTTTTAGTTATAATAAAATATTTTAATGCAGGTTAAGCAAACATATTATCATTAAGGGGGGATTTGACCAAACAAGAGTAAATATTCATCTCAGAATAAATCTTCAGTTTTGACATATTATTTCCCATACTGAAACTGTCAACGTGCCAGTTATACCAGGACTTATTCTCGGATAAAAGTTTGGTCGAATCGAGTCTAAAGAAATGTTTGGGGAATCTGTAGGTAAAATCTTTCATAGCAATGTGACCCTAGCCTTTTGCACTGACAAAGGACTCGACTTGGTCACATTGTCATGGATGCAGTGAAATGGTAAAAGAATTTATACAAGGACCACAATAAAATCACTTTTTAAAAGCTGTATGTAATCAAATCAGCAACAGATCACGTCATAGTATGTGTTTAAATAATACCACAATGCAGATAATGGGCCCGTTTGCTTATTAATTTGAGTGCGTTTAACCGATAGGTACGTAATTAATAGCTTTTTATGAGACTTATGCATAGGTAATATACGAATATTATGATATAAAATGATGTTATGTTGTATCTATGTAGATACAATTCAACAAACTTGTTACAAACGGGTTTGTAAGTTATAGAAAGAAGTCATGTAGTAGGGCAAATAGAAGTAGGTAATAGGTACATGGGATTTAGCAACGTGAAAAGGTTATATTGCGAGAAAATATTATGGTCACACAATATTAATCTAAGCACACAATCCTAAACGCTTTCAAAATCACCTGGCGGACTTACCAATTCCATAATTTTGTGTGTCACTGAATAAGGTAACGCGATAACTAAACTAAAAACTTTAAACTATAATGATTACTATAAAAAAATAGCACGGAATATTGATCTTTTTATATTGCGGCGTTATTACTTCGCTTTTATCACCACGAAAACGCGTGCGAAACAGAAAGAAGACGCGAACGAAATAATAATGAATGTCGAATGACTGACTGATTTGAGTGAACGACCGAATGGCCCAGTGACATTTTGTTTTTTTTGTACGATTCTTTCTTTTTGCAGGGACAGGCATTGTGCAGTACAGCCAAGTTTTCAGTTTTTATTTTTCTTTATAAACAAAATTAATTATATAGCCTGACCAGGAACATAAAAACCCTGGCACAGAGGCGCTTCAATTGCATTTGATAGTGCAACACTGAGTACAGTCGTACATGTGTTAAATTAATAGGCTAAATTTATGTATCAGGATTCAGGATTACGGGCTAATTTGATATTTTCATAAATTAACGAAAAACATTATTAAATATAACCTGGTTTAAATAAATTAAATGAAACCATCAATCGAGCTAGTAGGATTTATTTTATTATTCATCAATAATCAAATTCAGAACTCAAATTAGCCCGTAATCCTGAATCCTGATACATAAAGTTAGCCTATTAATTTAACACAGGTACGACTGTACTCAGTGTTGCACTATCAAATGCAATTGAAGCGCCTCTATGCCAGGGTTTTTATGTTCCTGGTCAGGCTATAAGTAGTTTATTTCATTTCGGCTAATGTAAAACCATAATTGAAAAAATAAAGGGTTCATGGGCCAAAATTTTTGTAGACATTTTGGCGCAAAAGTAAAACGTTAGGTGAAGCGTTAAGTTTTTTGTGTTTAGCCAATTTTTTCTAAAATAAATATTGTTATAGCCTGACCAGGAACATAAAAACCCTGGCATAGAGGCGCGTCAATCGCATTTGATAGTGCAACACTGAGTACAGTCGTACCTGTGTTAAATTTTCTCTTCGACAAATACTTTAACACATTGTGAACCACTTTTCTTTCACGACTATAAAAAGATTTTAGCAATTTAATTCACAAAATCAATTGCGCACATTTAAAATAAAGTTTGTTTACACTTTGACAGCAATAGACTGACATGCAAGGTGACATGTCAATGAAGTTTTCAGTTACTGTTGCCATTAAAAGAAATTAGTACCATTAGTTTTCCGCAACATGGCGAGGGTTTTTATGTTCCTGGTCAGGCTTTAACTCGATTTGCATGTTGTGTGCACTTGTTATTGGAGCTGTAACTAATATTGTACAACCTGCTTTGTTCTATGTTATCATTTAATATGATAAGCATGTTATTTTATGATTGTATCTCTGTTTTGTGCACCAATTAAAAAATAAAATTAAAAAATTAGTAGAGATGAAACGGATAGTTGTTTGGCCGGATACCGGATACCGGATATCCGGCGAGCTGCTAGGCCGGATAGCCGGATATCCGGCGGCCGGATAGTTGTCCCATTGTCATGTTGCATGTCGTAAGTTTGTATGCATGTTGAGTTTAGCGCTGCACAGGTGCTTCGAACGCGATCAGTAGGTCTAGTAGACTAGACAAGTCACACTTTTCGAAAATCGAATTTGTTCGAATAGAATGTCAGATTTTGCCACTCGACTATAGTCTTTTTCACATAAGATGATCCGTATGACACTTCAAGGTTATCCATATTACGCATGTACTACATACCTATGCATAATATTTTTGAAAAAATATTTGTATTTTATTAGCAATCACTGCACAACAGCATTTCTGATGATTGGGTTATGTTACATGATATAAGTCCAATTTTTAATGACGATTTCAAATCTGTGATTGAAATATCTGTATCAGCTCTGGTTAAAAAAATATGACACTTGGGTCTTTTTGTAAAAAAACACTCTTTTTTTAGAGATGATCCTATTTTATGAAGTTGTTAAGTTGAAAAAACTTTCTTTTATTTGACTTCCTTGCTAATGCTGAAGGCAGACAGCTCTTCTGAATGATTCAACAGCAGTCAGCCATCATGTGTGCATTCCAGTGGCCCTGATAGCGTCCCTCTATCGTACGAAGGCCCTGCAGTCAATTTGACAACCTTTGTCGGAAACATTATTCAATGAAAATATTGTCCGAACCCTTAGTATTTCTCTTCGACAAATACTTTAACACATTGTGAACCACTTTTCTTTCACGACTATAAAAAGATTTTAGCAATTTAATTCACAAAATCAATTGCGCACTTTTAAAATAAAGTTTGTTTACACTTTGACAGCAATAGACTGACATGCAAGGTGACATGTCAATGAAGTTTTCAGTTACTGTTGCCATTAAAAGAAATTAGTACCATTAGTTTTCCGCAACATGGCGAGGGTTTTTATGTTCCTGGTCAGGCTATAACTCGATTTGCATGTTGTGTGCAATTGTTATTGGAGCTGTAACTAATATTGTACAACCTGCTTTGTTTTATGTTATCATTTATTATGATAAGCATGTTATTTTATGATTGTATCTCTGTTTTGTGCACCAATTAAAAAATAAAATTAAAAAATTAGCCACCAACCCTTACAAAAATACAGATGAACTAAGTTACTATAACCACAGAATAATAATAAGTACTACGTAACCAATTAACCGTCCCACCCGTGACATTGACAGGGGGCGCCACTACCGTCAATACCGGATCGCTGGTTCCGATTTTTGTCACGTTGGAAACTAACCCCCTTACTAATAAATAATAATACAATAAAATTACCACGGCCACAGTACTTGTCCTACCAAAAACCACCCACATTGGAACAAATACCATTTGATACTACGGAGGGGCATGGCTCTACCTGGCTCTCTATCACAAACTTCCACGGACTTAAAGGGTGCCAATACCAGTATTTTCAAAGCGAAATTTCGTTAAGCTTAATAAGATCTCAGACCATAAACTGATGCAAAGCTGTAGCACCTATAGGTACCTAAAAAAATATCAATAAGTATGTAGCTATACTTGAATGAAACCATGCACAAGTAGTTTAACGATAATCTTTCATAAAATGATCTGATTTGCATAAAATTACGTTGTTGAAAGGGGTGCGCAGCGGGCTCCGATGGTGACCTGCTTTATTTATCCGAGTTGAACAAATAAATAAATCAAATTCGTTAGGCCCCGGGAGTTGACTTTAACTAGTAACTGGATGCATTGTGTAAATTAGAATTTTAATTTAACAGTGAAGACAAGGGTGCTTTTGTACATGCATGGATTGTCATGAATGCAAAAGAAAGAATTGCAAAATTACGTAAGAGACCTCAAAAATAGTATGTAGGTATATGAACTTTGTGTAAGTCTTATAAACACATTTAGTAGGAATTAACGTTTGTTATGGTCTAAGAGTTTCTGAACCCCAGACTTTCGTTATTTCATAAAACCTGAAATTTTGTCAGGGTATGCTTCCAGACTTCCAACTTAAGTAAGAACGATGGACTATAACGAACTTCGAGTTATCGTTCAGCAAGCTTTTATAAAATAACGAAGGTCTGGGGTACATAATCTTGCTCTACAAGATTTATCATAATGATGAACTAAATCACCACACAAACCACACAACCACACACGCACATTCGCAGTAGTCGGATATGGATGCACTAAGTATTTTTAAGAAAACAAACGCGGAAAAAAATGAATATTTTTATTTTATGTAGATCCTTGTCCTTAGTAGCAATGAATATGGACTCCAAGAAATAAAAACTTTACAAAGTTGGGTATGCAAATAGGACAGAGTAACCACATTATAATATAGGAATTAGGTATTGTTGTTGGCAAACATTTATTACCTTATATGCTTTTGATAAATATGGATTATAATTAATCTGGGGGCACGGCAGTGCCCCCGCCAAGTCGAGCGCGAAGCAAACACTGCCGTACCATCCTTTACTGGAACCATTTCGCCGCATTTTCAGGCCTCTATTTGAGAACCTCTGGNTGATAAATATGGATTATAATTAATAATAATTATAGGTTACAACAATATCAATAATTAATTTATGTTAAATAAATAATAAAATATGTAGGTAGGTATTGGAACATTAATTTAAATGATAGGATGTATTAGGTATAATGATACCGATCGTATTGTTTTAATGTCATCTAATTTAGACATAAATTATACGATAAAAATTTGCTCAATTGAAAAGATTTAACGTACTTTAGAAGATTAGGAAGAAGTGCTTTTGGACAATTGAATAAATTAAAGCCTGGTGCTATTGTCCCTCTTTATTGGAGGGCGGTGCGCGCGCGCCAGGGCGGCGGTGCGCGCGCGCCAGTCGGTGCCGGACCAGCGACGCGACACGCTCGCGCTCCTTCCGCACGTTCCCGCGGGAACATCGTGCGCGCTGTGTGTAAACAACTCTGACCTGCAAATCAACGATAGTTCACAAATGTATTGGATTGGACGCTCGTTTTATAACTAAATCCTGATTGATGCAAAATAACGGTGAGTCAATTTATTCGAAATTCAACGGAATTTAAAAAAACATACATGTGTGGATTCTACTTGTATTTCATATTCAAGATGGGTAATATAGTTAATTGTATTTTTATAATCAAGCATGAATATGTGAAAGGCAGGTACCTAGAAAAGCTTAATGCTTTGTATTTTGAGATAAATTTACTTAATTTACTCTTATAACAATTAGAAAAATTGCTTTCAGAAATGTATTATAAAAGCTTTGAGCGTTTCTAATCCAAAATACGTACTATTTTTTAATCAGATAGCTAAATGTGAGAACTACAACTGGGTCATGTGGACAGCTGACTCTATATTTTAGAATCGGCACCTTCATTCTAGAATGCGTATTTTAAATGACTCCTAAACTACCCGCATAGTTACATTTACTAGCAAAATTATGGCTTTTGCCCAGTAAAGTATAATTGGGTACAACAGTTATATTGCAAACACATTAGTTTGTATTGGTCATGCTTGCTTTAGTTTGTTTGTTTCACATTCCTCATTTAGTTGGGTTTCTCTTTTTCAATGATTCAAACCTGGCTAGTAACAGTAATCTTGACGAAAAGTTAAACTTGAAATCAATATTAAAAACTATAAGAGTGGATGTGTGTTTCTATCTTTTATTATGTACAATTTACACACAAAAAAGTATAAAGTACGAGAAATATGTAGTAATTATTTACGCCGATGGGCTTGTTCTATTATTTCTAGGTGAATTTTTAGCAGTCAGGTGGTTTTATTTATGTACCTACCTACTATCTTACAATTCCTTTTCGCCTGAAAGTAATGTAGAGCTTTTAAACTAATACAACAGTAGTTGCAAACTCACTTCTTCATTAGGTACGTCGTGTTAAACAAGCTTTTAGAATCAACTAAATAATGTTTTCTGAATTAGTTTAATTAATTTTAAGCTAATGACTGTACTCTTACCATTTAGTCCAAGCCAAGTTAAGTGTGTTCCTATTAATTATATCAGACAACGAATAAAAATAATACAATTAAATTCTCAATTAAGTTCTTGAACCTTTTGTAGAAAATAATATCGCGGGTGTCAAGCCAAAGTGTCGTATAAGCAACTTACTAGGGGTAGTTATACCTATTTATTACATTATTCCAACGAGTTAACAATTAAAGTTCAGAATAAAAAAAAATTAAAAAGTATAATATAAAATAAATTAAAATAATATACATACCTACATACAATACCATATTATTGAGTTAAAGCTCTATTGGATTTTGTGGTGAAAATAGTGATAGGTACTTTATTTTCTGTCTTACGTTGCGACGTGACGTTAAGTAAACCTTGAAATTTCACTTATACTGCCGATAAAATACAAAGGTAATTAGTATTTCAAAACATCCCCTGCCTGCCAGTGGCACTGCCTGTTTGGTCAAGTGGGAGAGCAAAGGCCGTGCGTGCGGAGTAGGTGGTGTAGAGCAGTGTCGATATTTAGTAACCTTTGCGGAGTATTCTGAGCGTTACTATTTGCGAGTCAAACCGCGGCGGAAATAGCACAAGGCACCAATAGTGCTGCCCGAGGGAAGACTATCGATATAACAAGTTAAATACCTACTAATAATGGTAAATGGAACCAATTTAAAGATTTAATTCCGTAATAGCTTAATAGGTTATTTGGTTTAATTTTATTTAATTGGTGGGATAATCTGACATAATCATCAATAATTTAGCTCTTATCTTACACCTAGCCTGTAAAATCTAACTTTAGTTCTATCCGCCAAGTCGAGCAAAATACCAAAAAGGCACAGCCGTAGGTGTGCCTTACCATCTTTTTCTCGAAGCCATTCGGACCATTTTATACAAGACTAGCTTTCCGCCCGCATCGTCGCCCGCGTGGAATTTTTCGGTTTATTATATAACCTATGACACTCAGCAATAATGTGGCTTTCTATTGGTGAAATAATTTTTAAAATCGGTTCAGTAGAACCCGAGATTACCCCTTACAATTTAACAAATATACAAACACACAAACTTTGCCTCTTTATAACATTAGCATTAGTATAGATAAAACGAAAACAAATATTTACCACAATCGAATATCGTGCATCATTAGTATTTTACCAACCAAGTAGACTATAATGCAGATGAAAATTGCAATTTAAGAGAATAAGAAAACAGGAACACATTCAATGAGATACAAGAGGTAATAGGTCTTTGAATGGAAGTATTCATGATAATTATAGTAATAATTTCATTAACCATGACTTTGAAAGCGGATCAACTGCGGAAGGATTTATTTGTTGATGTATCGGAGATAAATAAGGTGTGGACGGACCACGTCGGAAACCAGCGCCGTTTGTTTGTGAAGCGCGCGCGCACCTGGCCCGGAGTTTATAACACAGGCTCATCAAAGCATTGTAGTGGCGTTTATATTGCGCTTCGGTTGATCTGTCTGATTAATTTTAACCATAATGTTAAATAATATCGTTTAAGCGGCCTTCTCTTTTTTATCGATTTTTAATAACCAACTACGTGTATTTAAAATGCTGAATCGAAACCTCTTAGGTACCATAATATGTACCATCCTAGTATGATAATTCCGATTACTGAGAGGATTTTAGGATCACGTACTTATTCAGCCACCCCGGATTGGATTTAGAGACTCGTAGCTCTCAGTTACAATCATTGGATCGCGAAAGTGGGAATGATTGGTTTCTTTATATAAGTGTATAGGTATATGATCTGAAATCATTTATACATAAAGGTATAGGACTTCATGTTGTCGGTTTTTGTAAGAGGATGGACAAACCATTCCGGTGATGTGAAACCGTTTTCATGGATCTCTAGCTTTTCTAATTTTATTGTAAAGTCAATGCACTTGTCGTTAAAATAGAACTGCTAAATTGGGTGGAGTATTAAAATACCTTTAGTTGCCATGTCTGTACTTGCGGTCCCATAAAGCAGCATAGTTGAAATAGCTACTGAAATATGCCCTGCTCGCGCTCGCTCGCCGCGTGAGCGACGTGGTCACGTGACGCGCGCAGATGCGCTCGCGCCTGCATTCCGCGGCTTCGAGCGTTTACTATTTGCTATAATACTTATGAAAATAAAAATATTTTTTATAATAATTTCGATCCGCCACAGAAAGACTATCGCCTCTCAAAAAAATTAGGATTAAACTAGATATTTTATTTTTTCCTGTGTCTTAAACTATATACATATGTATCTTAATTGTTTCAAGGCAACCGGCAAACACTCTTATTACCTATGTAATTTCAGTCTTATAAATATTTTCAGTATTAGTACATACGTACGCTTTAGTTGTAACACGGTTGCATCGAGAGCAAACTTTTAAAATTGTCGAAACATCTGCCGTAAAGATGAAATGGGTCAAATCTCGTAAAAAGTGATTAACAAAATTATTACCGAGATAAAGGATCATTGCCGCAATCGGTTGTGAGAAGCGCGAGGGCCATATGATTGTGAGCGGACAAAAAATGCGGAGCATGTGGCGGGCATTAAACGGCGCCATGCGATGCGCGTCGGGCGGTAATGAGCTTAGCCCGCGTGCGCGCGCGCTGTGGGAACACGCACCGGGGGTCAGCGAGGGTAAAAGGTTGAGATTTGCCCTTTACAGATGGTGTACGTACGTACATAGGACACTATAAAAATAATATAAGTTCTTTACATGATTATCAATAAGTTTAGCGAGTATCAGAATGCTGGATGTTTAAAATGACCAATTAATTACGTCTATGCATCAAATATCATTTTACAAAAGAAGTTTGTAGACAATGACATTTTGAATTGAAATAGGTATTTATTCTGTGATATTACCTATTAAATTATACATAAAATAAATAAGGTGAAGAACCATAAAATATTAAAATATGCAAAGTAGCTTTTCGAACTGTGACCCTATAAACGCATAAGTAAAGAAAAATGTACCCTATACGCGGCTCTACAAACGACACCGGCGAGCTTTATGCACAGCGCATAGCGGGCGGGCGCGGGTCCGCCCTCCGCGCGATCGCTATCTACAAACGAACTCTGACCAATGTTAATTAAACTATTTATGACCATACAACTCATTGTGGCAATAAAATTTAATTTATTAACCATTAAAGTGTTGACTTTCATATTTTTAAATTATCACTTAAATGAATCACGTTCGTAATAATCTGATATAACTAGTAATTAAAGTAAATGTATTGCTGTTGTTTAAATTTTATTTTAAACTATAAAAATACATACCATGTATACCTAATTAAATAGTGCTACGAAAAAGTTGAATCTAATAAAAGACATCAACGCCATTAACGACTTAATATGTACTTGATTCTTCAAATCCATTGCATTATTATTAAAAAGATAAAAAGATTTTCTTAATACCTATTTGATACTTATTAATTATTTTGATTATAATAATTAATTTGATGTAACCGAACTTTATTTATTACGAAGATTATTAAGATTGGTTTCTATTGTTACAGATCGGAGCCATTCCGTATTGTGAAAAAAATTAAGGAAGTTTAATGGATGGTACTAATTTGGCGGTGAATGGACGTGAAGTGGACAATAATCTTGTGATTACGTGGAGTGTGACGTAGTGCGACGCGCGGGCTGCTCACGCGCCATGCGTGCGCTGGCGCGCCTGCTGCTGCTCGCGGCGCTGCCGGCCCTCGCGGGTGAGCAACACTACTACCCTCACAAGCCCCAGCCAGCCTGGCCAGCGGCGAGCGTGGGCCAAATCCTCCATTTGCATCTTATTTTATTTAAGACTAGCTTTCGGACCCCTGAACCTTATGTTTTTCCAAAATAAAATTTAGCCTATGTTACTCGTGGATAATGTAGCTTTCGAATGGTGAAAGAATTTTTTAAATCGGCCCAGTACTTTTTGAGCCTATTCATTACAAACATACAAAAATAGGTACAAATCTTTCCTCTTTATAATATTAGTGTAGACATGGTCGCCCCTGCAGTGGAGATTAAATAACCGAGACCTGATGATGACCATGATGGTAGAGCGAAGTCAATCATTGTAAAACTTACATCATGCACATTATTTTTATTTAAGTGCTGCATTATGAATCCAAAAGTTATTTTACATAGTAGGTACATACTAGTACATAGAGAAGCATTTTTTATAGAAAGGTTATTTACGCCATTAGGATTTCAATTAGATCAAAAAGGCTTGACCATCTAAGATGAATAACTTCGAAGAGTTTTATAATTATTTTAACTGAAGCGAACAGCGAGGCGTTCTAAACCAATTTAGCCACCTTGCGTCCATAGCACAACCTGTAATGAATAAAGGTGGAAATTCTAAAAGTGCAGTTCGCGCTGATAATAACAGCTTTCGCGTCAGTCGAAGCGCAACGACACTGATTGAATGAAAACAAAAAACTTGTGAATTGTTTCGCGCCAGATGCGCCGCGCACACGCACACGCACACGCACACGCGCGCATAGCGGCCGCGGCATCCCAAGAATTACAAAAAATATATTGAAATGCCCTTACACCATTCGATTCGACGAAAGGATCGAAATCAAAAGCAATAAATTAATCTCACGAAACTAAAACAACAAATCAAAACAGTAAAAAAGTTTGACGGGGCCGAGCCCTCAACATCACTTCAAATTGAACGATTCGTCTTCACTTTTTGTTTGGGTTACCTGTCTCAAAACTTATTTAGGTTTCTTTGTGTAAGAATAGGGACAGTTCTGAACAATCAAATGGATAATTCGTTAACAACTTTATTATAAAACAACGAGTGTTCAACAAACATAGTTTCTAAATGAGGTCATCGTCTAAAATAAATGATTGTGTAGTGTATTTTTAGCTACCTTATATGAACTCGAACTCGAAGAGTTGACTCTTATATTTTTTCATGAAATAAAGAATAACGATAAGACTGATGACGGAAATAGACTTTAAGAGCATATTTTTAAAGAAAATTATTACTGTATTATCTCATCATTTGACGAGCTCGACTCTTATTATAAAAAAGTTTGCAGATCTCATATAGGTAGAGCCAAGATTCTAACTCTACATGCACGTTGTAACCAAACAAACTCTATACCTTAATCAAAATAAGTCGATCATAGCAGATTAAAATTTAACGAAGCCGCGGGAAAAAGCTAGTTAGGAAGATTTTGGGTCGGTGTTATTGGTAATAATAAGTTAGAAGCAAGAAGTAGTGAGTTTTTTCTCAATTTCTATCGCGTCGGAACTCTGAACCATATGACAAGTTAGCTCAACGGTCTCGGCATCGGACATCGGACTGTCGTTTCGGGAATTTGTGAACGCGATTTCGATCCCTGTCGAACACTATAGACTATTGTTGAGGTGTAAATATTTGATGTGCAGTAGATGGTGTATTGTGCTGCGGCCACCACACACGTGGAGGACCGAGAACGAATACGCGACGCAAGTGACGTCACGCTTTTAACTCGCATTTAATACACCGGACGTGCAAATTACTTTTGTAGTAGATACCTATTAAATATCTTGAAAGCAAATTATTGACACTTATTTGTGATTGTCCGAAGGGTGCGATCTGTAAGCCCATTTACAGCTGTGACTGAAATTACAATTAATTAGGAAACGTATTATCATTACACCTAAGTAGGTTTTAAAAACGCTTAATAATGGCTTCGAACACGGTGTATATTAAAAAATACATGAGTTTAATAACAAATCAACCCCTTTTAAGCGATTCACCAATTTCTTTGATGTGTCTTTGTTTTCAGCTTTGTTCTCTGATTTCATGGCAGACTGAACGATTGATAGCGCAGTGTTGTAACTATGGCACTCTTGCGCATGTCACTGACGTCAGGCTCGCGTAAACATAGTTAATTACGCCCTTTCATCTCGCAGTTCGCGAGTTTCGCTTTGTTACCGATTGTAAAACTGTGCCTTCGCTCTCCGCCCATAATTCTTGAGTGGGACAAGTGTTCAGGGATTGCATGAAGAGTGCGGTAGGTGGTCCCGGGACTGCCGGGCATGCGGGCCCGAGCGACTAACAATGCGGTGTTCGGTTATGCACAATTGCACGAACTAATAAAGCACGTGCTCACTACGCGGGGCGACGAAGGGGTGAGCTAATAATACAAATCAGTAGCTGTTAAGAAAAAAAAACAGTTAAATTATTCTGTGGAATATTACTCCACCAAATACACTCTCTTCATCCTAAGCAACGCGTTTCCTCCTATTAAAAACATGATTTTTCTTTAATTAAGTCATCCATCACATCATTGAAATATTAGTCATTCATTATTTTGAGAATCTGAACATGAAACATACAAGCTTTGAAGTTCACACCTTTGGTTCAAAAGTGTTGATTGACATTTGGATAGATTTTTTTCGTTGTCTTAATTATCCAATACCCTAAGGCGAGGGTGAAGCGTCGTCACGCCTAGCAGCGAGCACGTCACGCCGGGCGTCCACGACGACCGCTTGTGTTATTTTAGGCCGCTTGCGCGCGCCCGCGCCCTTCGCAACAAATGGTATTTTTAAACTACCACGTCCATTTTATAGCCATTTAAATTATTACCTTAGGCGGCAGGTTGCTTTTGGAAATCTGTCAATGCATAATTAAGGGTGACATTAAGTTTAACCTTATATTTTAAGAAGTTACAATATAGGCCTGAAGTTTTGGATTTATAAAAATACTCGTATTTAGTGGCTTACAAAATTATTATAATTTAAAAATAATACTAATTTAGTTTAATATGAATACTTTGAAGTAAAACTCATATAATGTATGTTCGCTGTCGATGCCGTCCTGGAGAGATAGCAATAACTCGCGGCTCTGTCGGTGCTGAGCCCTAAACAGTTTGGCACGCGATCAAGATGGAGGGTTAAAATTGGAAACAGCGTGGATATGGACCAGATAAAGCAATCACAAACGAGAGTGATAATAGAGCGGCGTTTGTTTCGAGGCTGTCTTTGATCATTCCTTAAATGGAATGCGGGGATGTCTATGTTTGTATTACTGCGAACCTTCGACAAATTCGTTTGCGTACAATCAGTTACGAGGGCTCTAGTTTTGTGTGCAGCGGGCCTTAACCAGAATGTACCGTCAAACATAGTGCATGCGCTCGGAATGTTTACATTTCCCTCGAATGATGCAGAGCTGTAAATTCTCGGTATTGTGCAATTGTGGAACATTGTAATCTGATGGAGCGGGCGCGAGCGCGAATCGGCCGGCGCCGCGCGCGCACGTGCGTGCGTCGGAAGCGCGCGGCCCGCATCCTGCGTCCGTTTGATTCATCTTCTTTATTATAACTTTGGGGAAACAATAATAAACAGGTTCAAGAGAAAGTTGAAGAGCACTCGAAATTACTGCCCACTTAATTCTAAACTGTGAATGCCTTGTGTGTACAAGGCGAGAGTATTTAACTGGGCAGTTTTTACCACCCTCATCAGTTGCGATCATCTTTTGTGTGTAATGTAATTGATAAAGTAACTAAGCTAAGCGCTGCCACTCAGCCACTGCTTGCTGAGTGCTAACTGACAAAGAAATTCGAACATCGGAGAAGAAATTCAGTGCTACCGACATAATGTACATTTCTGGAACGTACCAACAAAATTCATGAGTACGAAGTATTAGCATCTACTTTTGTGGAGTTACACAAATTACGTAAATATTGGACGAGTAAAATTTACGTCGTGTCATTAACGCATCTCTAAATCATAGGATCCCTAATTATTTAGCTGTCTAATTTTACATCTTCTATTTCGAGCCAACATTGAAATATTATTATGGCGTACTAAAAACGTCATTTCAATTCAGCATCGTTTGTGTCAGGCGGGTCATCGGCTCGCAGTTGACGGGCGGCCATATGTTCCGGCTCGTGGCGTGCTGCGATCCGCGCAATGGAACGACTGCAGTAAAGTATTATTGTAAGTGCAGGGATCGCGGCAGCAAGGCCAGTTAACAAACAGCGCATTAGCCCACCATTTCTTTATAAACTGTATTCAGAATCGTTGCGAGGGATGGCGTGGTGTTTACGTGCGTGATTCATGTCATGGTACTCAATATTTTATTGCTTCACCACATTAGCATTAGGTCTTACAATTCAAGCAGATCAATGTGGACTCAGTTAGGGCACAGCAACCTTTGGAAGGAGGCAGAACGATCTCAGTAGTTTTATCGATTGATTAACCGGTTGAGTATATAGTGGAAATGTCAATGTTTGTTATATGTATAATAGTACCTATTTATATTAGTCAAATAAGGAATAAGAAATAGAAAGCTGTAAATTAATACAAGGGTTGTATTAATTTACAGTAGTAGGCATTCTTAAAATGTAACCAAATTATAGCTACGTCTTATAAACCATTTGCTTCATTAAACATTTGGCATGCATATTTCAACGCATATTTCGCGCGTTCTTGAAATGAGCTTTTGTACGCACTCTGCTTCCGTTCGCGTGTGATTCAGTCCTTGGCCATTTTCGGATCGGGCGGGGGCGGGAAACTCCGCGTGTACGCATATTGTGCAGTTGCATTACACTACTATTACTCACTTGCGCCGGCGCCCATTCACGCGGATGCCGGCCTTGCATCGCACCGCGGCGGCGCTGGCGCCCCGCGGCGTTTGTGTGTCCAAGCCATATTTGCATACCCAAAGTTTCACGAATATTTTTTATCAACATTTCGTCCATTTGCGACGACAACGTGACATCTTCTGTGTTAATCTAATTGACGATGTCACACTGTCGTCGCAAATGGACGATTTGGTCTTTTCATAATATTTGCGTTTATAGAACTTTCATCTGAAAGTTATTTTAAATTGTCTATATAAAATCTAAAAGGCATACCTAAGGTTATACGTTCTATTTTTTTAAATAGTGCCATTAGTAGCGCCTGGTGCTAAGCTAAATAAGCTTTCGTATTACGATCAGGTTTACCACAATAGTTCAGCGGCGGGGTTTGAACCAGCGTTTCTCAGATCTCGAGTCGGTCAGTCCGATAATGGTTACAGTTCTCTTTTCTCGCTTATATGATTGTTGTTTATTATTGGTTAATCCCATCCCGATACTGATGACATGCCTGGGTTGCATGGGGTGACGCTAATGTCAAACCGAGGACAGACGAAGACTAGAATCCTCAAGCACAGAGGAACTGGCTATCTTACCTCTAACTGTCGGAACACAACAATGCTGTTAACATTGTTGTTATGGCGACAGACTTAGGTAAGATGATGGTAGCTAGCCAGGCGGACTTAGAACAAGCCCTACCACCAACCAAACCGAACAGAAAAATCTGCCCCCACTGGGAATGGAACCCGGGACCTCTGCGTCTGAAGCAGGTGGTCTTACCACTAGACCACAGACTGAGGCGGTTAATATCATTGTTTTTTTGCAAGCTTTTATTTACTTTCATTTTAATCTATTTATTCTACACCTTTCTCTCTCAAATAATAGTGTTCCTTATGCCTGGTCTGGATATGCGCAGGTCGCGGCGGCTGCGCGGGCGAGGTGCTCTCGGTGACGGAGGGAGGCGCGGGCGCGGGGCCCGAGTTCGTGCGCGGCCCGACGACGCTGGTGGCGGCCGTGGGCAGCGACGCCGCGCTCGAGTGCCGCGTGCTGCGCCAGGGAGACAAAGCCGTAAGTGCCAAGGGATACTCATTATATGAGGAGAGGGCAGGAAAGTTCTTGAGTGGCGACCACGAGCTGGAAGACGTAGCGTGGGCAGGCCTCCCACTAGATGGACCGACGATCTGGTGAAGGTCGCGGGAGCACGCCTTTGTCCAGCAGTGGACGTCTTTCGGCTGAAACGACGAGGAGATGGCACGTTTCGCCAGGACTTCTACCTGGAGTGTTCCAGGTCCCTCTGGGATAAAACTAACGCTGGTGTGGAGCTAGCGGCAGGCTAGTGGTGGCCGTGAGAGATCGCTTGCAGATTCTGCCCTTTTTTAACACGCTTTTTAAGGCTCTGGATACCTACGCAAGTGTCACTTACCTAACATTTTGATCAAAATTTGTCGCTTCGTATAACAGTTAACTAAATATTCGATGATTCTTGACATTGCAAAAGGTATAAAGTGTTCTCCGATCCAAGTAATTTCGTACTTCGTACACACATAAAACCCCAATTAACACGAATGTCACTTACAGTTTGTAAAAAGAGATCATTAATTTGTCTTTTATTCATTTTCAAAGTAGGCTACGGACGGAGATCGTCAGGGAACTCCGCGTATTGGCACTTCACCAGCTTTCGCCGTATCTATTATTGTAGAGCCCGATGTTTAGCGCCGTTTCAAGTAGATACTCGTAGTTTATTTGAACTAGGCTTCGTGCACTCGCAGCTACACAAATGAAATATTCATAAAATAAACATTCCGTAAATGCTGTACATCATGACTCAATTAGCTAGTCGAGTTTTATATAAGCTGTCATACTTCTTGTTCTGTTATGATTTAGCTAGAATTTTTATGATCAAAATATAACACGATTAGTCATCGAGTTGAAATCTGAAAGTATGAGCTCAGCAATGTAAACAATTTAGACGTGCGCCCGAAATACGGATAGATGAATCGACGACACTGAAATGTGAAGCGGGCGCGGAGGTCGCGGGCCCGCGGAGGAACGCGCGGCGGAAATATGTGCGCGGGCGGCTGCGTCACGCGCGGGCCCGCGGAGGTGACAGCGGCCCGCGATTCCAATAACGCCGGTCATCGACTCGCGCTCGATATAGCGACACGCGCCTCGGCCGCCCGCGCGTACGCCGATGAAGCTTCCCGGAAGCTGCTATTGCCAAATACTATAATCCCCGCAATATGTGTCCCATGAAAATGATCTTGCGCCCGCTATAAACGCTAGTGGGCGTTAACCATCCCATAAATTGTTTCATTTTATTTAATGATTTAGAATGAATCATGAATCATGCAGTCTCATGCGTGATTAACACGAAATGGGTTAATCAATGCAAAATCACTTTTCCGTCAACCGAAGAAAAATATGGTTTCATTTGCTCTCTTCTTATTACGAAATATTATGCAGAAAATCATTTGGTGACCCTTAAGAAGACGCATTTTCTCATGATAGAGTCTTATTTGGCCGTGTAGTCCAGCGTCCAGCTCGGAAATCCGAAGATTCTCGGAAAATACCAATCAAGGAGGGCGGAGAACACGCGCGGCGTACCAACGGTTGTTGAATTCACAACTTCTACGAACACCTCTTTTTAAAGAAATAGGAGTACCTAGTCCGTTTCAGAACTATTCAGAAGATTGGTTTTCGAATAATTTAGATTATGAGAGACTTTCAAAGAAGTATGATTGGGTTATTGAAATGATTCCTCGTGTATAACGTTAACTGAGTTGTTGTGGCGGCAGGTGTCGTGGGTGCGGTCGCGGGACCTGCAGATCCTGTCGCACGCGGGCGCGGTGTTCACGGCGGACGCGCGCGTGGCGGCGGCGGCGGCGCGCGCGGGCGCGGTCTCGCGGCACACGCTGCGCCTGCGCGGGCTGCGCGCCGCCGACGCCGGCCGCTACGAGTGCCAGCTCAACACCGAGCCCAAGATGAGCCTGTTCTACAACCTCACGGTGGTCGGTGGGTACATTTGTGTTACAGCTAAAGCCCGGTCCGTGAGCACGTAGAATTTTGTCCAATGACCCCTAGCTACCCATCCTTATCGCTCGCGTGTAATATATTGCTGTCGCGACTGTGCGACTGGCACCCGCAGTGAGTGTGCGAGCGCGACAGCAACATAATTACGTGCGAGCGATAAAGATGGGTAGCTAGGGGTCATTGGACAAAATTCTACGTGCTCACGGACCAGGCTTTACGTTCATCACTCGCGTGTTATATAAAATCGAAAAGTGGTCCTGTAGATTGACTCCCGTATCCACAAACGATCCTTGCTTAAGTGAAGCAGCAAATCCAGCGTTGAATAGAGCTCTGTGATTGGTTCGTGTGTCACCCTGTGCGTCCACGGGCACTGTGAGGCCTCATAGTAATGTTTGTGAATACGGGCGTGAGTGAGGCACCCTCGTGAGGCAGAGCTGCGCTAAATAAGGAAACTATTGGAATATCAATGATTGTTGTGAGTCTTATGCAGAGCTTACCGAAAATTGTGTGTGACAGATGAGCCGATGCCGGTAGTGGTGATCTCGGCTGTGGACGGACGCGCGGTGCGCGGCGCGGCGGGCGGCGCGGCCACGCTGGCGTGCGACGCGCGCTACGAGCCGGCGCCGCGCGAGCTGCCGCTGCCGCCGCTCGACGTCCGCTGGACCAAGGACGGCCAGCCCCTCAACCTGCAGGTAATGTATGGTTACGTTAATCATTTATTTATGCAGGCTCCCGGCGTCTGTACATGTGATGCAATGGGACTCGAGGAAAACAATACTGTTTTTAACACGTTTTTTATTAGGTCATTTATAATTTGAGCTTCCAGTATTACTGTGGTATTACTTTCCACAATCTCCCTACAGTGAGTACCTACTGCACATAATATGTATTATGAAATTACATGAAACGATCACCTTGGACTATCCCACCATTAGGCTAGTAGTACTTTGTAACGAGGCAGCAGAACGCTGACTGTCTGTTTTTTCGTCACGGGAAATGTTTGCAATTACCTTCAATATTTCCTCACATGTCCTAAGTCTTGCAATATCGTTCTTATTAATACAGCCTTAAGATCTAATAAAATAATGTTGCAAGTGTTAATTTCTCACAATGATAGCGGCTTGGGTCACGTCAATTCTATGATTTGCGGTACGAGTAGGTATTTCGATACAGTTATTAGTGCGGTGTCTTCATGATCGCTAACGTGTCGTGGTGGACATTTGCAGAGCAGCCGCGGCGGCGTGTCGCTGGACACGGAGCGCTGGGCGGCGCGCGCGCGGTCGCGGCTGACGCTGGCCGGGCTGCGTGCGGCCGACGCCGGCGCCTACACATGCGCCGCGGGAGACGTCGCCGACGCCGTCTACCTGCACGTCGATGCTGGTAACTCATATTTATAATCTTCTCCACAATCTACTCATTTTACTAAAGCTAACCTACTAGCAGAATCGCTAAAATCAAGTGGCAGTGGGCGGGGCACATAGCTCGTAGAGTTGATGACCGCTGGGGCATGAAAGTTCTTGAGTCGTGACCACGAGCCGGAAGACGTAGCGTGGGCAGGCCTTCTGCAGGCAGCTTCTGTTGGCAGGCAGACTAGGTGGACCGACGATCTGGTGAAGGTCGCGGGAGGTGCCTGGATGCGAGCGGCGCAGGACTAGTCTTTGTGGAAATCCTTGGGGGAGGCCTTTGTCCAGCCGTGGACGTCTTTCGGCTGAAAGGAACTAGATTCGTAACTTTAGCCAAAGTGTGAAGGGGTCGGACTGGCCAACTTGAGATCCGAGGAATGCGGGTTCGAATCCCACCACCGCTTGACTATTGTGGTGATCCCACTCGTAACACAAGCAATTACCTTACCATGAGGGGCTAACGGGACTATTAGTAATTTGTGCAATACAAACTACTAATAATATTTAAAAAAAATCTACACTCCATGTTAGCTTACGAGTTACGAGGAGTTCACATTCATCTTCTTAACAAACTGATACGAGTCTCAATGAAGTTGATTTACCCTTTAGCACTGAGCTCTACATTATGGCCCTACCTAAACTTCATAGTCATAGGCCGCAGCTAGCTTTTGAAAGCGGATCTAGTTATTGGAGAATTTAAGCCCGCTCTATTTCTTACCGTTGTTTTATTTATTAAATTGAACCAATTTTTTGTTTCTTTTCACAGAAAGCCCAATAGAGGCGATGCAGCGCGACCAGTCAGCATCAGATGGCTCTTCAGATCTCCAACGGCATACGTTTTGGGCGGTTACGTTAGGCGTGCTACTTTTGCGGACGTTGCTCAACACTTGACCTTCGCGGAGAGCTTACGTTATTATGTATATTTTGCGTTTTTGTAAATATTGTAAATAGTTAGTTATTTATAATAGAGTCAGCGTGAGTGGAAATAAATACCGAGATAGTGACAAGCTAATGGTGTTTTTATTTGATAAACGTTGTCCGCGCGTGGGCCGGCATCGCGGCACGCGCCCCGAGCCGAGCGGCGAGCCGAGCGGCGAGCCGAGCGCGAGGGCGAGCGGCGCCGCGCGCAGCCGGATATATCGCGCCCGAATAAGAACGCTATTAGCGGCTTCGGCTATTACTGTGATGTGATTGTTTGTTTGGTCAGAGAATTGGAACGCACACGCACGCTCACTCAAACGCATGCTCCAAAATAGACGTTATTAGCTAAGAAACGTCACGTGGAAGTACTCGTAAATAACCAAGATTAGGCAGTATTGTCAATTTATACTAATACCCAAGCCATAGACGTTTATTACGCTTCGAATTTATAGTGGCAGTAAGCCCACTTCAATGTGTCTAGTTTTAACTCAAACGAAGGTATTATTTACCATGTGTATTTGTGGACACAAAATATCAAAGGTGAGCTAGATATTGGGCGAGAGTTACGTAAGTATTATTTACTCCGGGCCACGGCCGCGTGTTTGGCAGCGCCGGCTGCGCGGTTGGCAGCCGCGTGCTGCGTGCTGTGGTCGCGGAGACACGCGGATAATGCGCAGGTTCTGATCCGGCCGCGGCTATCTGGGGCACGCTCACCTCCGCAGCTACCTACCTATGTCGCTATAATTCTATCTTCACTACTAATGGTGATGCGAGTTTCCTTTGATTTTGTAACTCGGTTATTTTAAAATTAATCGTAAAAAAAAAACAAGTATGCAAATTATTCCGTCAGTTCGGAGCCCACTCTAAATGTTTCTCGGAAGAAGACATTATGTTTCAATGAGTTGTTTCTTACGAAACGTGACTGAAAGTCGACATGTGCGGTGTCCCACAAAGTTTTAATTAGCCAGATGGCCGCTCCAATATCGACAAATGACGAAGTTCGGATGAAAATAGTGCTTCATGCTTTTTCTTATTCCATTTATACTGTAAAGTAGGTATATTAAATTAATATAACATTTATATTTATGATTAACCTATGGCATTTAATTAATGTAGGCTAGAGTGTGATTTTGTTAATATAACTTCCTGAAATTTCTTGCGTGAAGCAGCACTTCAGTACCTTGCCGCAAATTCTAAAATTTTGCTTGTCAGTCAGATTCAATCGGCATGAGGTCATTTACAGTGTTCATGGGACTTTAAAAAAAGCTGGTTGATAATGAATACAAAACAGTTCATGGGACTTATTAGAAATACAGATAACAATTTGGCAACAACACTTTTCGCCACATTGTAGCAGCGTTCATCTGAAATTCTAAACTTTAATAGTTTGCCTCTACCATGAGTTTACCTACCGAGCATCTCGCTATCGAGTCCGTAAAAAAATGTATGGCAAATTGTACAGCGCCTCTAGCGGTTAGTAGCAGAACCACAGCAAAACTAAAAACACTACCATGAGTTCATCTCAAATCGTTAGGTAAAAAACCTATCTAAATGAATACGATAGCGACTAAAGTTTTTATTAAGTTTCATACAAATAACTTACCATGAGTTGCAATTTTCAAAGATGTCATCGAAAAATACCTTAGCTGTCACAGTAACGTAACTCACTGGCTTATTGATGTGTGAAAAGCAAAATAAAATTGTGGTTTTAGGTCATTTTAGGTGTTTTCTTTATTAAATTATGTCGGAAAGAAGTTTATTACGATGGAACATGTTATCAGCATGTGGGCAGACCTCCCACTAGGTGGACCGACGATCTGGTGAAGGTCGCGGGAAGAACTTGGGAAGAACCTGGATGCGGGCACATTGTGGAGATCCTTGGTGGAGGGAGAGGATGCTGCGTTTCCCAGAGATATGCGAGGGAACTGTGTCGTGCGAAGATGTCTAGCTGTGCTGTGAAAATGTGTGCGGGTTTCCACCATGGGTTTCCACCAAAGCTGTGCGAGGAAAATGTATCGTACGAGGATGTGTAGCAGAGATTTGAAAATGCTCATTAGTGTTGTACAGCCTGAGCCTTTTCCACCAGAGATGTGCTGACCGAGGTAAACGAAGCGATTCTATTGGTTCTTTACAAACACATCCTTCGCTACGCATCCTCGCACATCTCTGGTGGAAACGCAGCCTTACGAGATCATGATAGAAAGCTAATCCGACAATGAATATTTTCATAGGTTGAAATTTACTTTTGTTTTTAATCAGTCTGTGTATTATGTATTAGGTTTTGTGAAATAAATAGTCAATAAAAATTAATCATTTTATTTTCAACTAGCTTTTGCCCGCGGCTTCGTCCGCGTGAAATTTAGTTTGTCACAGATCGTCATAATTATAGCCTATATGTTAATCTGTGTTATAAACAATTATACTGTAAAGTTTCATCAAAATCCGTTCAGTAGTTTTTGCGTGAAAGAGTAACAAACATCCAGACATCCAAATTTTCGCATTTTTAATATTAAGTAGGATATTAGTAGGATAATTATGTATTTACTTAATTATTATTACTGACAAGATTGCTACCATGTATGTTTAGTGACCATGAAAGATTAAAACAATATAATGTATTTAATTAATTATAATATCTTATGTCTTTATTATGGATTTAATTTACAAGTAGTTATTTACAAGCACTCTGCTCTAAATCCTTTGGCTTCAGGGAAGAACCTGGACCGCCACCAGTCCAGTGTTCCCTTGGCAGCTCTGTGTATGCGAGTTGCCTTTCTTCTTGCTGTTTAGTCACTCCACACCTTAACAAATAAACATTACAATAATAATGACGAAATAAGATAAAAGCAATCAAAATGAATATAGTAGTAGGTGTTTATACACACTTTTCTCAATTTCTCAGTAGTTTTCGTGTCGCCGGTGGCATCAGCATTTCACGTTCGCGTGTCCGTTAGTTCCACCCACCATTGAGTATTGTTGGCTCTTTCTTGGGGCCCTTCAGTGGGCATACTCAGATCGCCATATCTATAGAAAAACAACTTTATTGTATCTAGAAAATATAAATCTAGCACTCATATTACTGAATTTTAGCTAGGCACGTGGAAGTTATGCTGGAAAGGTTGTATTTCTCCAAAAAAACCAGCTCAAAACTATTCGTTTAATTTTGAAATTCCTCCACTACATAGTGTGTTTATTTTTACTTACCTTACCTTTCCATAAATTCTACAATCAGTTTAAACGGATAGCCGCAGGTTCTCATTTTCCTATCCTGGTTAAAATCCAATTTTTTGTGGAAAATTATTCATCTATAATCCTTCAACAAAACATGTTTTGTTATCTGTTGTCATGACAACAGCTGCGTCAAAGTCGCAATGACAAGAAATAAACAATACAAATTTAAAATCATCATGTTAATGCAGCTTTAAGCACTGTTCTAGGACACCTAAATTTTGCAGTGTTATTTTTGACATTTTCGTTATTTCCTACTCTATCTTTTCTATATAGTTAGAAAGAAGCGGCATTCGTTCTTTCATTCATCCATTCATAGAGTGTGAAGTTGGATACGTTAACATGCTCACCAACATGACATCACAAAACCATCGAATTATCGCTGGCGAGTAAAGTATACGGTAATTGAACTCATGGTATGATTTTAAGGCAAACTTCATCGATCCACGTTTAAACTCTATCGACTGTAGTATACGAATACAAGTTTTCGATGGCAACTCATGGTAGAGGCACAGAACGATTCGAGACTCGCAGCGCCGGAGTTCGCGAGTCCAGTTGTGCTGCCGCTGTCCGCGACCAGTTAGGTACCTGGCAGTTGCTTTCTCAAATGCAAACACACTTTATCGTCAAGTTTCGAATCAGCTTTGTTTGCGGTATCACCGAACAAAAATGATAATAATAAATGACATGATGTTGCTATTCAAATAAAATTTCATGTTTACGAGTACACTGATTTTAGACAGGTTAGAATAACTGAAAGCTATTATAACTTCTAATAAGCCGCGGTAGCAGCCACGTAGGTACTCGTATATTTTTAAAAAAAGCAACGTTACTTTCTAAAATAATATTTAATGTCGTAAATATAACACTTTAATCTCCCTCGTGTCCGATAAACAATGACGACACTTGTCAGTTTCCCACAACATTTACCCTAAGCGCGCCCATAGAGCCGTGGCTTAGCCATATTTTTAAGGGGCATGATCACAAAGTAAGGCCGCCGCCGCTCATCAAATTAAGGCAACGCTGTTATCGCGGGCCCTTCGGAATTAATTCCCTAGAAGTAATCCAGTTTCCCCCGCCCTCCCCGCGCCTGTCCCCGTGTTACAACCACGAGGAAAACTAAGATGTTTCTTCTTTTCATCAGGTTTACAAAAAAATTGTTAAAATTATGACTGAAAAAAGAAGCACATCTCTCGATTAGCTGGTGAAATGAAATGATGAAATATTATACAGAAAACCTCTCCACATTTGATTGCTGAAGCTCTACAGCTTCAGCAATCGGTACAACATTACCTTAAAATATTATAAATAAAAATGTTTTTCACTTTGATTATATTTATTTCAATTAAGCTTTATACCTTTGACTAGTTGTTCTCAAAGCTTGTTTCAAATAAAAAGTACTAAACTGATGGCTGAAGTTCCAGATTAACTGAAATGATTTTGAAAGCCAATTGTTTGATACCACAAATTAATAACTTGACTGATTGAATTCATACTCAAAGAAAATGTAGGCATGCCTAGAATTTATTGTACGTGCACATTTAAACACAAAATAATGGAGATGGCTACAACCAACTACAACAGTCGATTTCTACAATAGCTGATTTAATATGATGAATACCGAATGTGTGAGCCTGGTGAGGTACTAAATAGTTATGTAGTAAAAAGCCTTACACACCTACTAGTAGTGGCCAAGGAGAGTGGCGCTACATTATCATTTCCCGTCTCCCCCACACGTTTTAAAGCAGCAGCAATATATCTACTGCGAGCGTTCATTAATGCCGTTAGTGTAACAGGCGCTGGTAGGAGATTCAGGGCCATTGTTATAATTAGTGGAAGCGGCGCGCGCCTCAACTCCAGCAATTTTTCTAATTTAATT